AACAAAAGTGTTTAAAGGAGAGCCACAAATAAGAATATACAGGTTGAATATAAACTTTATAGAGCCTGAATAAATTAGAATGGAATAGATGGAGGCTTCATGCTCCTCCCCATATGCGTTGTCCTATGCATCTCTTCATCTGGTGTTCATCGGTATCCTCTGTAATATCCTTTATAATAAACTAGTAAATGTGCGTACAGTCATGTGTCACTTAATGAAGGAGACACATTTTGAGAACTGTGTTGTCACCAGGCGTGGTGGCTCGTGGCTCATGCCTCATGCCTGTAATCTCAACACTTTGGCAGGCTGTGGTGAGAGACTTGCTTGAGCCTAGGAGTTTGAGACCAGCCTAGGCAAAATATAGCAAGACTCCAGCTCTATAATAAATAAATAAATAAAATAAAAAAGACAATGGCATTGTTAGGCAATTTTGTTATTGTGCAAACATCTTAAGAGTGTCCTTTCACAGAGCTAGAGGGTACAGCCCACTACGCATCTAGGCTGTATGGTATATCCTATTGTCTAGGCTGCAAACCTGTACAGCATGTTCCTGTACTGAATACTGTAGGGAATTTTAACACAATGGCAAGTGCAGTTAACCCTGGAACAACTAGGGGATTAGGGGTTTGACACCCACACAGTCAAAAATCCATGTATAACTTTTGACTTCTCCAAAATTTTACTAATAGCCGACTGCTAACTAGAAGACTTACCAGTAACATAAACAGTTGATTAAAACATGTACTATATACTGTCTTCTTATAATAAAGCTAGAGAAAATAAAATATTAAGAAAATCCTAAGGAAAACATATTTACTGTACTGTACTGTAATTATCAATACTGTACCTTTAGGGTTTGTTAAATGCCCCTTCATTTCCAAAATGAGTCAGCTGTCTGAAATGGCAGGGAACTGCAGCTACAGACCTCAATCTATGGTACTTATCAAGCAATTCCACGAGAAAATGACATTTTCTCATAATGTCATTTTTTTTTTCTCTGCTTCTTGGGAGCATTTCTAGCATCACTGGTGGCACTTTGTGTGGGGCTCATGGTGCTATTCAAGGTTTAGGGTATTGCATTAAATATGATGAAAAACGCGAGAAGTGTGACAGATCACTTTTTACTGCAATACGCAATTTACTAGAGCAAAGAACTGCTCACATGGAGATGATTAGCTCACAGGGTGTTTCATGTGGATATTCTCAACACTTGGGTTCTGCTGTAATAGCAACAGGAGGTGGTTACAAAATTATTTCAGTGGAACAGTATGTACTACAGTAATTTTATGCAGTTATTTGTTTCAATTAGTTAATTAAATAATTTTTGTTCTTTCCATAGCTTTAGTGGTACAAGTGGTTTTTTGTTACATGGAAGAATTGTATCCTGGTAAAGTCTGGACTTTTAGTATACCCATCACCTGAATAGCACACATTGCACCCACTAGCTAATTTTTCATCAGTTACGGTTCAACACTGCATTTTTAGATTTTTAAATATTTATCTAGACTGCAAATGGTACAATGTATGTAAGTCACAAAGGGGAAGTTGCTAATTGGGTAGCAGCAATAAAGGGAATGGCTGCTGGTCTCCATATGAAAACAGTTTTCACAGTTCCCGTATTTTCTCTTCTTGGAGTCTGAGATGTATATTCTTGCAATCTTCAACCCAGCCCTCTTTTGCTCATTTCCTGGTGGGACAGGGTTTTTATCCTTTTTTTTTTTTTTTTTGAGACGGAGTCTCGCTCTGGCCCAGGCTGGAGTGCAGTGGCCACCGATCTCAGTTCACTGCAAGCGCTGCCTCCTGAATTCACGCCATTCTCCTGCCTCAGCCTCCTGAGTAGCTGGGACTACAGGCGCCCGCCACCACGCCTGGCTAAGTTTTTGTGTTTTTAGTACAGACGGGGTTTCACCCTGTTAGCCAGGATGGTCCCGGTCTCCTGACCTCATGATCCGCCTGCCTCGGCCTCCCAAAGTGCTGGGATTACAGGGATGAGCCACCGTGCCTGGCCAGGGTTTTTATTCTTTAAAATTTCTGACCAAATATGTGTGGCTCTACTTCAGACTAAAAGTCAACATATAGACATGCAGAGATAGGAATTTAGTCTATCACTTTGTGCTATCTGGGGAGAAGATACATGAGCTAAACAAAACGCAGAGAAATTTTCAGCACTTTTACATTCAATCAAATCTGGTCAGTTCTACTTCTCAAATATTTTTCTTATCCATCTTCTTCGTACATCCATAGCCATCTTTTATCTGAATTATAATACCCTCTTAGGCAACAGAAAAAGGTGGAGGAATACTTGCTAGCTATTTTAAGAAAATGCAAACGCCAAGTATCACTGCGGGAAGACCTCATGGCTTCCCAGTCTTTTCCCTTGATACTCACCTTTCCCTTGAGGACCTGTAATGATCACTGTCTCCACCAGAGAAGTGCCAGTTTCCCTTCCATGGCGTAGATTGGTCCTCTTTGTTTTTCCTCATTCGTAGCATTGCTAAATCCACGTGAGTTATATAAAGCTTTTAGATAGGGCTTAGGAGTAATGGGGGCCGGGGGTGGGGGAAGCAAATAAAACACTAAGATGCAACTTACCTAGCTATAACTAGGTACGGCTTGCTCTTTTTATTCAATAAATATTTGAGCACTCTGTGATTACCACGGTGCATATATTGACGACGCGTCACTGCTCGCAAGATGCACGTGGTAGCAGGGGTATGCTAATGCTGCCACAGGGTAATAAAGGATAAATCAGAGTGTGGAGCACCTCAGTCACTTTAAAATGCGCAGGAAAGGCAGTGTTCTCTCCTTTTATCTGGAAGATTCACCAGTCATTTGAGCCCTTTGAAGTGACTCATTCAACCCCCAAAATGGTTTGGCTGGACACGACCCAGTTTTGGATAAGAGGACAGGAGCTGGCTTCAGCTAGCAGCTTGCAGAGGTTTTCTTTCACCAGGGGTATATCTTGTAATGCTTGGGATGAATTTTTCCAGCCTCTAAGTCACCCAACCCAGGAACTCCTCACGCTGCTGGGTTTTGTAACAATAAAGGTCTTATTGTTTAAATCACCAAAAAAAAGAAAAAAAAACAAAAACAAACCAGGAGGCACCTAAAATAGTATTTGGGGGAAGGGAATTATGAAAGATTTCACTGAAGTGCTGCCCTAAGAAAACGAAGACTAAAAGGACAAATAAGAATGAGCAGAACGTGAGACTGGGGAAAGCAAGAGGGCAGGAAATGAAGTATTCCAAAAGAGTCTAAGAATGTGCAAGAGACAAGTGAATGATGTGTTTAGGAAATTGCAAGTAGTTCATTATACCCGGAGTGTAGAGTACAAGGGGGTTCTCCTGTTTATGCTCAGGTGACAGGAACTAGTTCCTCTACCACCCACAAGGGCCCTTAAACACACAAGGAATTCTCTGAATCCAGGCCAGAAACAGGGCGTTCAAGGGAGGAATTTCCTCCCCTTCCAGTCAATGGCAGCCTTCTCAGCTTGGTTTTCCAGGCTGAAGAACCCCATCTTTGGTGGTTAATGCCAACAAAATCCTCTTCCTTAGGGAAAAACCCTATCCTCTTATACCACAAAATTTTACTCCATGATCTTGATAAGGACAAAATAGCAGAATAGTGCATTATCTTTATGTATTTAATAGAACTGCTTGTTTACACTGCCAAAAGAAAGGTTACTTTCCATAAACCCGAGATCTTAAGGAAACTGGATATTATACTTTTAGCTTAGGTATTAACTAATGGTACAAAGTGTGTAAACCCCTATCACTTCTAAATGGCAGTTCTCTTCACTGAATGAAAATCAGTTTACTTCCAATTTTTTTTTCAGGATTAGAGGTTTAGAAAACATCTTTAAATATTAAAGTCATTAAAAGAAATGAAGCAAATTAAGTTTCAAAAGTTTAAGAATGTACCATACTGTGGTTTTCCTGGGCCACTGTTGTCGGCCAGTTACAATGTGCTCCATTTCTCTAGAACTAGCTCCTATTTTGAAGCTGATGTCTTAAATTTTCCTTTCTAGGCCACGCTCCGCAGCTCATGCCTGTAATCCCAGCACTTTGGGAGGCCAAGGCAGGTGGATCACCTGAGGTCAGGAGTTCAAGACCAGCCTGGCCAACATGGTGAAACCCCATCTTTACTAAAAATACAAAAAATTAGCCCGGCATGGTGGTGTGAACCTGTAATCCCAGCTACTCAGGAGGCTGAAGCAGAAGAATCGCTTGAACGTGGGAGGCGGAGGTTGCAGTGAGCCGAGATTGTGCCACTGCACTCCAGCCTGGGCAAGAGTGAGACTGTCTTAAAAATAAGAGTAAGTAAATAAAATAAAAAATAAATTTTCCCTTCTAAAAGGATCACAATAACATGAATAGCAAATAGAATGTTTTAGGCAGCAATTATCTAAAATGTGGATGCTCTTGAGCATGCATTCTCAATAGGGGTGAAAATTGGTTCATTGGGGACAAAAAAATTATATTTTGTATAAAGCAAAAAACATTTACAGTCCATAAACAGATACATAGTACATATGTGGTGTTGAAATTTCATGGGGAAGGGGTGACTAGAAAAAAATCTAAAAAAGCTCTTTAGGGAGGTGATGAAGAAAAGGTTAAGAAGCCAGGGGTTGTGACTCACACCTGTAATCCTAGCTACTTAGGAGGCTTAGGCAGGAGGACTGCTTGAGGCCAAGAGTTCAAAAACAGCCTGGGCAATATAGCGAGATCCCATGTCTACTTAAAAAAAAAAAAAGAAAGAAAAGCTGCTGTGGAGATTCTTTTGCCAAGTCAGGAATACCTAAATTAACTATATTTTTACAAACCCTAAGTGCCGAGATAAAATGGAAAGTTATGGCTATCTCACTTCTAACCAATGTACTTGCAAATGGCTCCAATTCTTTGGTTTTTGTTTCTCCTAGCCAAGGTTGCTAAAATTGTTCAAGGAAAAGACTTGGATTTCTTTTTTTAAATATGATAAATCATTAAATATATAACACAGAGTACAAACCAAGAAAGTAAATTTATTTAAATTACTAAAATAGCTTTTAAAGTCATTTACAGATCAGCTGCTATAATTATTTTTCCTGAAAGACACAGGTAACATATTACTTTTAAATTACTTGGGTCAGTGAAACATTTAATAAAAAGTTATTTCTCTATATAATATGTATGTATAAAATAAGCCTTTTCAAAAACTCTGGTTTTCATAATCCTCTATAAATCAGATGATCTGACTTCTAAGAGGAACAAATTATAGTAAGGGGCATACATTTATGAATACTGGTAGTACTAGAGGAAAGAAGTTAGACCACTCTACTACCACTTGTGGAACTCTCAAAGGGTAAATGACAAAGCCAATGACTGACTCTCTCTAAAAACAATATTTACATTTAATGGTTTGTGGACAATAAAAAAACAAGGTGGATAGATATAGAATTGTAACATTTTAAGAAAACCATAGCAGTTGACAGATGAGAAAGCTCAATTATAGATGCAAAGTTATAACTATACTACTATAGTAGTAAAGAAATACATTTCACACTCTTCATGTAAGTTCACTATCTTGGCTTGAGGCACTCCATAAAATGTATCACGTGCATAGTAAATCTTTATATTTGCTATGGCGTTGTACTAGAGGACCTGGACTGCAACAACTGGATGCACAGAAAACGAAATCTTCTTCAATAGCCCAGGACAGCAGGTTGACAAATGGTTTGTCAATTCCTGAAACTATTTCTTAATTCAAAACAAAAGCTTCAGGATGTGTCCAAAATAAACTGTTACGAATTGACCTAGTCTTTTTTTTTTTTTCTTTTTGAGACAGAGTTTTGTTTTTGTTGCCCAGGCTGGAGGGCAATAAGCCTGGTCTCGGCTTACTGCAACCTTTGCCTCCCGGGTTCAAGCGAATTCTCCTGCCTCAGCCTCCCAAGTAGCTGGGATTACAGGCATGTGCCACCATGCCCGGCTAATTCTTGTATTTTTAGTAGAGACAGGGTTTCACCATGTTGACCAGACTGGTCTCGAACTCCTGACCTCAGGTGATCCACCTGCCTCGGCCTGACCTACTTTTTTTTTTTTTTTTTTTGAGACGGAGTCTCTCTCTGTCGCCCAGGCTGGAGTGCAGTGGTGCGATCTCGGCTCACTGCAAGCTCCGCCTCCTGGGTTCACGCCATTCTCCTGCCTCAGCCTCCCGAGTAGCTGGGACTACAGGCACCCACAACCGCACCCGGCTAATTTTTTGTATTTTTAGTAGAGACGGGGTTTCACCGTGGTCTCGATCTCCTGACCTTGTGATCCGCCCGCCTCGGCCTCCCAAAGTGCTGGGATTACAGGCGTGAGCCACCGCGCCCGGCCAACCTGACCTACTCTTAAGAGTCAAGTGAACAAATGTATTAAATCTTGCAATATACATGAAGAATCCTTGGGAGGGCCAAGAATTTTTCTTCAAGGAAGGAAAAAGGAGATATAAAAAACAAATCCCAATGGAATCCACTAAGATTAACAGTTCATATACCTATGTTTGACCTACACCTCAGTGGATTACTATAACATTTCCTCCCTTCAGCTTCCCCATTAATTTCTTCCTTGCCTTGTTCTTTCCACCTTCCAACAAACAAAAGAAAAAAAAATTCCAAACACACACCTACGTGACCTTTCATAACTTATGTTCCTATAGGCAGAAGCTAAGGAACTCACACCTACATGGTATAAAAGGGAACATAATGGGAAAATCCATGGTTACATTTAGGGAGCAATCTTACTAATAACTCAAGAAACTTAGTGAGAAATCTAAGTTAAAAAATCAGGAAGGTTCATAAGGAGACAAATCCCTTTCACTGGTCATACATAACTGTAATAATTCAGCCCAGAATCAAAATAGATTCTCTAAGGAACTGCATATAATCTGCACTCCTAAGATACCTTTAACACAGCTCTCAATGGAAACTGAAATGATTCTCTCATATCCTAGATAATTAGGTTGACAAATGATTTTTATGTTCTGTGTTTATGTAAGAACTTAATTTCCTTTAAAAAGAAACCAGTTCTTTCAAAAAGAGCTCTGAATTCTGTCTCTGGTTAGAAAATGTGAACAATTCTCAGAACTTGGGACATGATTTTTCTTCTCTCACTTCTTATAAGCAGATGCCCCTTTTCAAGGCATTTTCAGGTTGCACAGGCAGAACTAAGTGAGAAATGCGGCTCCAGAGGCCATTCAGTTTGTCTGGGTCCATATGATTGTAGGAGTTGGGTGTGTTAGAATTGGTGAACTTGACTTTAAGGAAATCTCTTACTTTTTCTTCAACTTCCTTTAGGCCTAGACTGGTTCCAAGTGTCTCTTCCTCCAATAAGACAGTCAGGACTAGGGCTACATCTTTGAAGGCTGCGTTTTCATGGTCACAATATTTGTAGAAGATCAAAGTAGAGCCTGCGGGCAATGACTCAAAGCGGTGTACCACAGCTGCATTCTGGCCGTTCTTAAATCCATTGCTCAGTTCTTGGTCTACCTCTAGTTTGACAGTATCACTGTCTTGAGTAGCTTTATCTGTCCCATCAATCCGGATGGCACGGACACTACGAAAAGAAGAATAGGCATCAGCAATTTGTTCACTCAGACACCTAAGCGCTTCTTCAGCATCTCGGGCAGCAGTGAGCAGCAAGATAGCAGGCTGAGACCGAGGATGGGAGCTATTAAGATGTTTTTCCAGGAATATTTGGCTCCTTTTCCACAGCTTCTCATCTTGACCTTGATACTTATTCTTAAGTTGATTCATCTGGTTCTGGAACTCTTGAACAGCAGTGGTTTCTACCTCAGGAGTACTAAAGAACCAAAGACTCCCAGAGGCAAGAGCAGCTATCAGAGGAAGTAGCCACCAGCAGTTCCTCTTGCCAAAAGATGCATTTTGGGGTTGTCCAGTCATTTCTACTTAGAAAAAAAGAAATGACAGATATAAATACCATTTTCTTAGATTCAAGGCAAGTGACTTTTAAAATCAGTATCAATCTTTGTAAACATTAGGTAAAAGAGAAAGAACTTTAAAGAAGAAAGCTGAAAATTTTCTTAATAAAATAATTTATCGCATTCTCAAGAAAATCTTACATGCATACACTTGGAATTATGTATATAAATATGCATATGTCTCTTCAATATAAAAGTATCTTTGAGGAAAAAAGTTTATAAACAAAAGAAATGGCATAAACAAGTCAGAAAAATAATACAGTTTATAAAGTGAAGTTTATTATTTCCACTGCTAACAGCTGGGAGAATAGACTATTAAAAGACAATTTATAAAATATTTTTTAATTTAGAAACTCAGCATTCACATGGCTAATTATTCAAGGTGAAATATTTCTGAAGTATATAAAAGGATAAAGAAAAGGATGCAGGCTGGACACAGTGGCTCATGCCTGTAATCCCAGCACTTCGGGAGGCCGAGGCATGAGGATCACAAGGTCAGGAGATCGAGACTGTGAAACCTCGTCTCTACTAAAAATACAAAAAACTAGCTGGGTGTGGTGGCACAAGCCTGTAGTCCCAGCTACTTGGGAGGCTGAGGCAGGAGAATCACTTAAACATGGGAGGCGGAGGTTGCAGTGAGTCAAGATCACGCCACTGCACTCCAGCCTGGGTGACAGAGCGAGACTCCATCTCAAAAAAAAAAAAAAAAAAGAAAAGTAGGCAATATGAATGAACATCTTCTACATGTTATAATAGCTAGCTGTCCCTTTAATTTTACTGATGTATGGCCTTTTGTGGTATGCAAGTTAACACTGGTAAAACTTAGTTTGTAACTCGTTAATTACTATTGGCAATAATAATAGTATTAATTTATATTTAGTGCTTTTCAGTTTATAAAGTTCTTTCTCATATTCTACTTCATTTATTCAGTTAATATGATAGTACCAATAATACTTTTAGACCTTCTATTTATTGACTGTTTCAAGCTATTAATTTTAGTATGGACCTTTTAGAGCAGCAGTTCTCAAGGTGTGATCTGTGGGGTACCTCAAGACCCTATTTTGCAGGGGAGATGTCCATGAAGTTAAAACTATTCTTCTTTTTTTTTTTTTGTTTTTATTTTTTGAGACGGAGTCTCACTCTGTCGCCCAGGCCGGAGTGCAGTGGCCAGATCTCAGGTCACTGCAAGCTCCGCCTCCCGGGTTCACGCCATTCTCCTGCCTCAGCCTCCCAAGTAGCTGGGACTACAGGCACCCGCCACCTCGCCCGGCTAGTTTTTTGTACTTTTCAGTAGAGACGGGGTTTCACCGTATTAACCAGGATGGTCTCGATCTCCTGACCTCGTGATTCGCCCATCTCAGCCTCCCAAAGTGCTGGGATTACAGGCTTGAGCCACCGCGCCCGGCCAGTTAAAACTATTCTTCTAACACTAAGATGTTATTTGACTTTCACCTTGTGTTGACATTTGCACTGATAATGCAAAAGCAATGGTGGGAAAAACTTTTGATGCTTTAGCATGAGTTACAGGGCAGTGGCACCAAACTGTACGACTGTAGTCGTTGTTATTTTTCACTGCCATGCATTCAAGGTTTAACAAAGCGACATTCCTTTACTTAAGAATGTCCTTTATGAAGCAGTTAATTATTTATCTTATTAAATCTCAATCCTTGGGTACATATCTTGTCAACATTCTTTCTGAAGAAATGGCAAGTACGCACAAAGCACTTCTGCTGCATCATACAGTACCATGGTTGTCTCAAGGAAAATAATTTTGTGCAAATGAATTACAAGGTGAATTAGCACATTTTTCAGGAATACTATTTTTTACTTGAAAGAACAAGTAAACTATGGTCAGACTTGTGTATTCTGCAGACATTTGCTTTCAAGTGAAAATTAGGATTTTAGAATCCTAAATCTGCCACCATGAGTTTGATATTTTATATTACATTCCTAATGTGTCAATGTTTGGGAAAATCTGCATTTCTCAGTGAACCAATGTTTTCCAAATGACCAGTGCACGATACTCCATTCAAAGTATAAGAAAGACCAATGAATTTTACTGTAATAGAGTACTAAAAGCTCAGTAAGATGGTTTCAGATATCCTATTTCAAGTAACATTTAAGAAACTAACACTTGTTGAGTTTTGGAGAGTTCAAAAAAGAATAGCCACAATTATCTGAAAAGGCTATTAAAATTTTTCCTATCTGTATAAAGCTGGATTTTTTGTAGATACTTCAACCAAAATATATTGTAACAGACTGAATACAGAAGCATATATAATCCAAATCCATTTTTTAAAGAGATCAGAAAAAATGCAAAGCAATCTGATCTGTCACTCATCTTGCTAAATTATTTAAAATCAATTAATAAATATTTTTTTAAAATTTCAACTTTAATTTCCTGGTACATATGGATAGATATAACCCATATTTTCAACAAAAAGCTCTTTGAAGTTCTTAATAACTTTACTAGTGTAAAGCGGTACCAAGAACAAAAAATGTGAGAATCATCATTAATCTATTTTCTTTTTTTTTGAGACAGAGTCTTGTTCTGTTGCCCAGCCTGGAGTGCAGTGGTGCAATCTCGGCTCACTGCAAGCTCTGCCTCCTGGGTTTACATCATTCTCCTGCTTCAGCCTCCTGAGCAGCTGGGACTACAGGCGCCCACCACCACCCCCAGCTAATTTTCTTTGCGGTTTTTAAGTAGAGACGGGGTTTCACCATGTTAACCAGGATGGTCTCAATCTCCTGACCTTGTGATCCGCCCACCTCAGCCTCCCAAAGTGGGGGGATTACAGGCTTGAGCCACCGCTTGAGATGGAGTCTCGCTTTGTCTCCAGGCTGGAGTGCAGTGGTGCGATCTCGGCTCACTGCACCCTCCGCTTCTCGGGTTCAAGCAATTCTCCTGCCTCAGCCTCCTGAGTAGCTGGGACTACAGGCGTGTGCCACTATGCCCAGCTAATTTTTGTACTTTTAGTAGAGACAGGGTTTCACCATGTTGGCCAGGATGGTCTCGATCTCTTGATTTCACGATCCGCCTGCCTTGGCCTCCCAAAGTGCTGGGATTACAGGCATAAGCCACCATGTTCAGCCCATGAATTTATTTTCTTAGTACTGTTTCAGGATAATAAGACTTGGAGAACTAAAGAAACTTGCAACAAGGCTGTAAAGGAGGTAAGTGGTCCAATCTAGTTCAAATGCAAGTGTGCAGACTCCGAAAGCCATTGTAATCCCAAAAGTCATGCTCTGGCTGGCTGTCTTTCAATTCAGCATGGTTTCCTCAGTTAACAGTATTAGTAGCTTTACTTATTATTAGCTATTACTTTTGGTCTTATGGACGGTAAAGTGAAGGGGCAATACCAGATGTTGTCTCATATATAGTTTGTCCATAAATAATTTCACTGCTAGTAGAATATATACTTTTTCCTCTAAAGTGCTTAAAATATGATTCTTCAAATAGCATCAAGTCATACTGCTGTCAAAAACCATTTTTAAATAATTATGGAATAATTATGGAATACCAATTTTACAGAAATATTTAATTAAAACTGAATACACAAACTTACGTCGGCTGGAGGTTGATGGTGACTGGTTTCCAAGCTCTGATTTCTGAATGTTGTCATCTAATGGTGAGAGTAATAAAATAAGACTATCAACTGATGTTTCATAATTTGAGTATTTATTTCTAGTAGACAAAGAAGATACAAATTCCACCAGGAAAAAAAGAAGACAGAGATCAGCCAGAAGCAGAAGAAAAAGTAGAACATCTGAGTGCTGATTAGACTGAGGGCTCCTTGAGACACAAGACCTATTTCTTTCATAGCTGTTCACAGCATATGGTGGGGTCTAGTAGAAAGCACACAATAATTAGTTTTCAGAGAAAGTTTGGAAGTATTTGACCCATAAGTATCTAATGGGATTGGTGAAACTTCCGGGATAAAAAGGACAAAAAAAATAAGCACACCATAATAAAATGAAACATACCACTTGAAAAACTGCCATATATTGAACTCTTGCCTGGTGAAGATGCTGTAAAGAGGGGAAAAATAAGGACAAAATGTGGATTATAGACTACTGAGCTGTCTGGATAAGGTGTTTTAATATAAAACTCAATCTTAATCTTCACTATTTTCTACCTCAAACCAATTCAATATTTCATCTGGGGATTCTGACCATTTCAAATACTAGTAGTAGTTTAAAATCACGTTTAAAAACTTCTCATCATTTCTGTTAATAGACAAGTAATTAAGTAATTCTGTTTTAGGCTTGTGGTTAAACAATAGAGCTCAAAAATAATTTTCTCACAACTCTGTCAAATCTCTACATCCATCTAAATTTATTTAGAAAATAAATTAAGCCGGGCACAGTGGCTCATGCCTGTAATTCCAACAACTCAAGAGGCTGAGGTGAAAGGACAGCTTGAGCACAGGAGTTTAAGACCAGCCTGGGTAACACTGTGAGACCCCATCTCGGATAAAAAAATAAATAAATAAATAAAAACAAGAAAATAAATTAAAAACAATCCTAACCCTTCCCTTTCCCTTCCATCTTTTTTTAGCATACCAGCAGGTTTTAAAATCTAAGAGAGGAAATGGAGGGACAGGCTTCAGAAAGTATAGAGGCTGAGTTATCTCATTCATATGACCTATATTACCAGTATTGCCATCTATCACTTGACTGGACTTTTATAATTTTTGTATATATAAACGAACTTCCTGGTGGATCTTCTTAGGGTTTTATCAATAACTTTCATTTGAGAAACACTGGAATAACTGGAGGAATAATATTAGCTCTGCTAACATTCAGAAATAGCCTTATTTTTGGTCATATGACAAAAAGCTGCATAATGATGTCATAAGACAAAATGACAGCAAATCTAAGAGGAATATTGTTTTTCAGTTACCAGTTTAGCTTAGGATATTTCATTATTTAGAAGCTTCTAAGTTAGGTTATCAAAGTTACAACTAAAATAACAAAATAAAAAAACCTAACCACACAAAACCCAAATCCATCAGATGTTTATTTTGAATACTTCACTCCATGGTTGCAAAGATCAAATGAGATAATATATATAAAAATGCTGTGAAGTGCAATTCTATGATGTTAATGAAGGACAGCTAAATAATAATTATGTACCATATATAATATTTATATAATTCATATAACACAAACACATACACAACAGGGTATATACTGCCAAGGCAGGACATCGTCCAAAGGGTAACTGATATCCTTTTCATCAACATTACTAGAGATGCTAACAACAATTCTAAAAAACATCTTTTTAAAAGAAAAAACTCAGCTGGGCACAGTGGCTCACGCCTGTAATCCCAACACTTTTTGGGAGGTCAAGGTGGGTGGATCACCTGAGGTCAGGAGTTTGAGACCAGCCTGGCCAACATGGTGAAACCCTGTCTCTATTAAAATACAAAAATTAGCCGGCTGTGGTGGTGCACCACCAGCTACTTCGGAGGCTGAGGCACGAGAATCACTTGAACCCAGGAGGCGGAGGCTGCAGTGAGCTGAGATCACGCTACTGCACTCCAGCCTAGGCAACGGTGCAAGACTCTGTCTCAAAAAGAAAAAAACTCAAGCTTTTCTAATCTAAAGAGTATGGTGATAATCAATCACTCTATAACCATCAAGAGTAGAGGGCACAAATCCTCCATAGTTGCTACTGATTCTACAGAAAACATTGTTAACAATAAATAAGCCCGGATAATTATGAGATTTTAGACTTTAAAAAATTGTGTTTACACATATAAGCTCATTACAATAATTTAGTTATAGGCACTATTGTCTCTAAAGGCAAGAAAATTGAGGTTCACAAAGGTTAAGTGATTTTACCAAGATTACTCAATTAGTAAGTGGAAGAGCTAGGCCTGGAGCCCAAGAGCTTTAACTACAAACTGTCTTCTTTACCTAAATTTCTGAGACAGGTTCCAAAGCATTTATATTAATGCTCTGACCTCTCCATGCACATATATTCTTCTCTATAATCATTGTTTTATCATCTGGCAAACAGGAAAAAGTAAAGACAGTGGTTCCATCTTTCCTAAAAGGTTTGGATGCAGGCAGAAGCCTGAACTGGGACCTGTCTACCCAGGAAACTGGTGCTAACATTGGGTGACAATGTTCCATGGAGTAGAATCTATAGCCCAAGGTTCCTGAACATTCAGGTCTAAAAATGACTTTTTTTCCCTCACCAAAGCAGGCAGAAATATATAAAGAATGAGAGATAAAATGTGGAATGCTGAGAAAACATTTTTAAAAATACTCTTGAAGAGGAATCTATTATATAACATTGTTTGAAAAATCACTGTAGTCTTTCACTTCCATTGAAAATATTTTCTTCTTGCTCATCGTTCTATCTTAAAGTCCTCATGTGGTTGAATGTCTAAAAGATCCTATTACATGCACACGTCTGGTATGTTACTGTTACATAACTCTGAAAGCTCAATGTGGTATCTATATATGGTAGGTGGCTGGCAACCAAGGTATAATTCTGTAAGCCATAATAAATATAGTAATTTAAGACAAAGTAGAAATGCAAACAGATAAAACACTAAAAATTAGCTATTAATTTAGCAACTAAAAATATCTATTTCTGCATTTTAATTAGATGTTCAATATAATTATTTTTTCCTTCTGTATTGCAGTGTCTTATTAGAGGAAAAATTATGCAAACATTTTCTGGTAAGTATGTACTAACTTCACTTATCTGGAAGTCATTTATCTGATATTAATTACTCAGAATATATAGTTAAGAACTAAGAAATGACACAGATGCCTCTGAGCTTTTCACATTATATATACTAAAACTCATGCATTTTTACATCCAAGAGTATCTCTTGGGTCTTCAAATTTAATTTTAATGTTTGATTCTGGTTGCAAACATAATTCTAATAAGCTGAATAATTAATATTTGGTTTCCTAACTACAATATTAGGTCAGGAAGAGCAAATTATAAGAGGAAATGGTTTTCTAATATCAGGCATATACTCACAGCAATAAGAAATGACAATCGACAATAAGACAAGGGCAAAAAGTTATTTCGGTTCTAGGCTGCTGAAGAACTCACTTATATGTGCGCTAAAAAAGTCACTGCTAAGAAAAAATGAATTATGACCACTCCCAGTTTACTGATGGAAAAGCAGGGCCACAGACATCATCTGGTTCAATTACAGAGTTAATTATCCCATGATCAAGAGATACATGATGTGGATTTTTACATTATCTAAATAAGAGAATGCCTGATGACCTCCAGACCTATTGTGGCTAGATGAGTACAGTAGGGAGCGAGGTTAAAGGTCACTTAAAGCAGAGAATATGCGTGGACTTTAAAAAAATATGGTCAAGATTTAATGTGGACACATTTCCACAGAAATTATAGAAAGTGGGTTCAGAGTATGATGGTTTTATCACATAAATTTATAGTATTCCTTAAATTCTGTGACATTTAATCCATCCAAAACCTAAACATGAGGCTGGGTGTGGTAGCTCATGCCTGTAATCCCAACACTTTGGGAGGTTGAAGCAGGCAGATCACTAGAGGTCAGCAGCTCAAGACCAGCCTGGCTAACATGGTGAAACCCCATCTCTACTAAAAGTACAGAAATCAGCTGGGCATGGTGGCGCATGCATACAAGTCCTAGCTACTCAGGAGGCTGAGGCACAAAAATGACCTGAATGTGGGAGGCGGAGGCTGCAGTGAGCTGAGATCATGCCACTGCACTCCAACCTGGGCAACAGAGGGAGACTTCATCTCAAAAAACACAAAAACAAAACAAAACACAAAAACCCAGAAAGGCTGGGCACAGTGGCTCAAGCCTGTAATCCCAGCACTTAGGGAGGCCAAGGCAGGTGGATCATGAGATCAGGAGTTCAAGAGCAGCCTGACCAATATGGTGAAACTCCATCTATACTAAAACTACAAAAATTAGCTGGGCGTGTAAAAATACAAAAATTAACCAGATGTAGTGGTGCGCACCTGCAGTCCTAGCTATTTCGGAGGCTGAGGCAGGAGAATTGCTTGAACCTGGGAGGCAGAGGTTGCAGTGAACCAAGATTGCACCACTGTACTCCAGCCTGGACAACAGAGAAAGACTCCATCTCAAAAACAAAACAAAACAAAAAACAGAAAAAAAACCCCAAACCCTAAACATGAAAATATAACTTGTGCATTTCAGCCTTTATTATGTAAAATTATGAGTATACAAAGCTGTTCCAAAATCTGCTAAAAGCGAAAAATAAGTATTGTTAAAAGAGTAGAATTTCATTATTGTATAAAGACTGTATTGCTGCTAGAACTGAGAGCTTGTTAAGACTCATCAATCTCTGGTTTGCTCCCGCCAGTATTTACATTCTACACCTAGCCCATGTGCTGCCAGTCCAAGCAAATAGAAATTACTAACCTAGTAATCATAGCTGTACTTTATTAGTGAAATCACAAACAACCTAAATGTTTACCTGAAGAACTAAACATTTTTGTCAAGAAAAACATAGCCAATACGCTTCAGATTATTTCACTAACAGAGCTTTATCTACTTACTTTGCATCCTAGTTCTTATTCTTGCAGTCTGGGGGGCCCATTCCTCAAGAGTTCTTTGATATCCTGAGCCTGAAGCAAATACATATATCAAAAGATAATTTCCCATACTTTGAAAGTTTATACCATATTCCAGTGCTATAAAATTAATCTATCAGAAAGACAAAATAAAAGAGGGGAAGAAAACAATAAAAGCAATAGTTTTATAAGTAAAAAATAATTTCAAAGGATCCTATCAGTGAGGATGAACCACTTCCTATAGCAAAGCAGGTAGCAAATAAATATATTATCACTCAGTATAAATTACTTGTGGTAAAATAGCCCTGAACACATTTCCACATCACAGAGTAATTATTACAGGTAGTACCAATCCGTGGTGAATTAAAAAGGTAAAGAGGGGTAAAATGACTTGAAATTTTATTACGACTTTTGTTAGGAGAATAAGGCAAGGTTAGAATTGATTGACTGAGGCTAGGCACGATGGTTTATGCCTGTAATCCCAGCACTTTGGCAGGCCGAGGTGGGCGGATCACAAGGTCAGGAGATTGAGACCATCCCCGTCTCTACTAAAAATTTAAAAAATTAGCCAGGCATGGTGGCGGGCGCCTGTAGTCCCAGCTACTCAGCAGGCTGAGGCAGGAGAATGGCGTGAACCCGGGAGGCGGAGCTTGCAGTGAGCCAAGATAGCACCACTGCACTCCAGCCTGGGCCACAGAGTAAGACCCTGCGTCAAAAAAAAAAAAAAAAAAAAAATTGATTGACTGAAAAAAGAGCAGGCAACCAACTACTTACTCAGCACTGAAGGTTGCTTATCATGAGCTGTGAAGTTGCGACCTGAAACAGAAAACAGGGATGAGGTCATAGAATACTTGAAAATAACAACAAAAAACATGCTGCATAGACATTTTGCTTGTTTACTGTGGATACTAAAACAAACAACAAACAAAAAACATCAGTTCCAAGCATGTAAGTATATAAGTGTGTATATATATATATAAAAACCATGCATATACTATATATATATATATATATATATAAAAAAGTGTATTTCTTTTCCCCTCATTTCTAAACTTCAAAATGTTTAGGAATTGGACAACAAGAAGGAGTCAGTTTTAGGATCAGTACCATCAAAACAATGATTACGTACAGTCAATGTGTATCAGCTATTGAGTATAATTTTGTTTAATTCTTGTTTTTTGAGACAGGGTCTGACTCTGTCACCCAGGCTGGAGTGCAGTGGTGCAATCTCAGCTCACTGCAACCCTCGCTTCCCGGGTTCAAGATATTCTCCTGCCTCAGCTTCCCAAATACTTGGGATGACAGGTGTGCACCACCACGCAAGACTAAATGTTTTGTATTTTTAGTAGAGACAGGGTTTCACCATGTTTGCCAGGGTGGTCTCAAACTCTTGACCTCAAATGATTTGCCTGCCTCGCCCTCCCAAAGTGCTGGGATTACAGGCATGAGCCACCGTGCCCAGCCAATTTTGCTTAATTCTTGTGTGGCAGATGCTATTGTTGTTCCCATTTTATAAATAAGGGAAAACCAGCCGGATGTGGTGGCTCATACCTGTAATCCCAGCACTTTGGGAGGCCAAGGTGGGCAGATCACAAGGTCGAGATCAAGACCATCCTGGCTAACATGGTGAAACCCTGTCTCTACTAAAAATACAAAAAAAAATTAGCCCGGCATGGTGGCGGGTGCCTGTAGTCCCAGCTACTCGGGAGGCTGAGGCAGGCAGGAATGTCGTGAACCCGGGAGGCGGAGCTTGCTGTGAGCCAAGATTGCGTCACTGCACTACAGCCTGGGCGACAGAGCGAGACTCTATGTCGAAAAAAAAAAGGGAAAACCAAAATTGGTAATTTTTCCAAAATTATATATCTAAAAGTAGTGGGGCCGAGATACAAATCCAGGCAGTCCATATCATATACCACATACCATACCATAGAGAAATGGTATATACTATCTATGCAGATTTATGGACATTGCAAAGTAGCTATGAAGTAAAACATGCTACTTCAGGTTTTGAGGAGGTATTTAAGGATAACTGTAAAATGACACAATGGGATGACTAACAAATGGCACCTTTTAACAAGGTGAATTTTCAGATCTGCCCTGAGGAAATGAGTTACTCTTTGATGATAAATACAAGTATCCATTTACATTTATTTATTTTCAACTTTTTCTGAATACAAACATATGCTAGCTGTTTTAAAAAAGTGCCATTCTAGAAATGCGTAATTTAAAAATTCATGAACATCTATCTGTTAAGTATGTGCAAAACATTGAATGTAGAAATACTATGGTAAGTAAGACAGATATATATTCTCTCAGCTTTGTTTTCAGTCTATACTAAAAATACACTTTTTAAAAAGTGGATACATACCTTTTAATACTTTTTCATCAAATTCTAAGACATACTTTTTAAAAAATGCCCTCTGATCTACAGATGTATCTTTTAATTAATGGTATGGCACAGTTTAACTGGATGGTTTTTCTTTCTCATTGATACATAAAATCAATAGTATCTTAAAGTCAATGAAATACATCTTGATCACCTTTTCATTAGTATATATAACTCATTATATAAAACTCATTTTTCATTTCTAAATAGTATTTTTTTTTTTTTTTTGAGATGGAGTCTCACTCTGTCACCCAGGCTGGAGTGCAGTGGTGCGATCCCAGCTCACGGCAGCCGTCGCCTGTTGGGTTCAAGCGATTCTTGTACCTCAGCCTCCCAAGTAGCTGGGATTACAGGCACCTACCATCACACTTGGTTAATTTTTGTATTTTTAGCAGAGACGGGTTTCACCATGTTGGCCAGGCTGGTCTCAAACTCCTGGCCTCAAGTAATCCACCTGCCTCAGCCTCCCAGTGCTGGGATTACAGGTGTGAGCCACCGCCCCCAGCCTAAATAGTATCTCACCACATGGGTATAACATCATTTATACAGGTAGATACATTTAAGAGTTTCCAAAGATCAAAGATTTGGAGTAAAATAGGGCAAATACATAAAATAATTCAAAGAGTAATTTTCCACAACTGATTTTTTTCCAGCAGCTAATTCATTTTATGTCTCATTTTATAGTCATAAATCCAGAACCTACTAAAAATTAAAATGAAAAATATAAAATTGAATTCTATAAACACAATGATTATAAAACATATTTCCAAAGGCTTTTTCATTTTCTCTTTTTCTTGAGACGGAGTCTCACTCTGTCGCCCAGACTGGAATGCAGTGACGCAATCTCGACTCACTGCAAGCTCCGCCTCCTCCCGGGTTCAGGCCATTCTCCTGCCTCAGCCTCCCGAGTAGCTAGGACTACAGGTGTCTGCCACCATGCCCAGCTAATTTTTGTGTTTTCAGTAGAGATGGGGTTTCACCATGTTGGCCAGGATGGTCTCGGTCTCTTGACCTCATGATCTGCCTGCCTCAGCCTCCCAAAGTGCTGGGATTACAGGTGTGAGCCACCATGCCCGGCCTTCCAAAGGCTTTTTCTTAAGAAAAGAAAGTAGGCCGGGCGCGGTGGCTCAAGCCTGTAATCCCAGCACTTTGGGAGGCCGAGGCGGGCGGATCACAAGGTCAGGAGATCGAGACCACGGTGAAACCCCGTCTCTACTAAAAATACAAAAAATTAGCCGGGCGCGGTGGCGGGCGCCTGTAGTCCCAGCTACTCAGGAGGCTGAGGCAGGAGAATGGCGGGAACCCGGGAGGCGGAGCTTGCAGTGAGCCGAGATCGCGCCACTGCACTCCAGCCTGGGCAACAGCGTGAGACTCCGTCTCAAAAAAAAAAAAAAAAAAAAAAAAAAAAAAAAAAAAGAAAAGAAAGTAATGTGGAAGGAATAAAAAAGTTCTTGAAGGTTTTTACATACAAAGATATTTTTGGTTAATAACTCAGATTTTGGGAGACTTGATTTAAAAATGTCCAAAGAAAAAAACAGTAGTACCAAAATAATAAAGGTGGCTGGGTGCAATGGTTCACACCTGCAATCCCAGCATCTTGGGAGGCTGATGTGGGAGGAATGCTTGCGCCCAAAAGTTTGAGACCACCCTGAGCAACACAGTGAGACTCCGTCTCTATAAAAAATTTAAAAATTAGTTGGGCATGGTGGCACATGCCTATAGTCTTAGCTACTCAGGAAGCTGAAGCAGGAGGATCCCTTGAACCCAGGAGTTCGAGGCTGCAGTGAACCATGATCGCACCACTACACTTGCCTGGGCAACAGAGCGAGAACCTATCTCAAAAAAAGAAAAAAGAAAAGAAAATAATAAAGTTAAAAAAAATGTCACCAATGATTCTTAAGCAAATCATTATTAGCATTTTGGTATATTACTTTCCAATCTTTTTTTGTTATATCTTCTCAATATTTGATCACAAAAATATTCAGTTGTAAGACTGAAATGAATATTTATATACCCATCACCGAGCTTGCCATTAACTTTTTATTACATGTGCTTTATCACTTATTCATTCATCCTTCCAAACTTTTACAACAGAGTTGAAATTGTACTAATATAAAATTTTATGTCCTTATTAGAATAAGTGCATATAAATAGGCTCAAACTACTACATTAGTCTGTTAAAATAAAAACAATCAACCCATTTATATTGCTAGCAGAGACATTCAACAAATCACAGGAAGCAGTAGTTCCTTTGCTTGTTTTTTAAGTTCAAATTCAGGTTTGGATATAGAGAATAACAATTCCATAAGTGTCATAAGGTCAAGGGGTAGAGATATATTGGATAAGTTTTTTTTTTTTTTAAGTATTCATTATTCCTCTTTTTCAATATTTACATTAAATTTCAAAAGAGGATCTTCAAAAATAGGAACAGCATTTGACCAAGCTCACAGGTAGAACTGTAAACACAGCTTTACTTACTTTGTGATGACTGCCAAAATGATTCTGTATATTGACTAGATGATCTGGTGGCTTTATCTAAAAAATAAAAAACAGTACACTACAAATAATATTCAACTTTTAAACTGCACATTTTATAAGACAACAGTGAGAAATTAATAAAAAGAGCAAAAATATTCAGATAACTCCCAGGTGGTTAAAAACTTGGATGCATAATTTATTTTAAAAAGTTTCTAGGCTGGGTGCAGTGGCTTTCACCTATAATCCCAGCACACTGGGAGGCTGAGGCAAGCGGATCACCTGAGGTTAGGAGTTCGAGACCAGCCTGGCCAACATGGTGAAACCCTGTCTCCACTAAAAATACAAAAATTATCTGGGCGTGGTGGCGCGTGCCTGTAATCCAAGCTACTTAGGAGGCTGAGAGCAGGAGAACTGCTTGAACCCGGGAGGCAGAGGTGCAGTGAGCCAAGATCACACCACTGTACTCCAGCCTGAGCGACAGAGTGAGACTCCATCTCAAAAAAAAAAAGGTTAAAAAAGTTTCTAAAGTATCACGTCACATCTAAAAAATTAGCTGATAATCACTTAAAAAATTGTTATGATATAGAACATGCCACAAGGTAATGAGATAATAAAACCTTTGAGTTGAGAAACATTTTGTAAGTTTACAACAGTGGATCATCTTGAAATCATCAGTATCCAGTTTTGCTTTAAATTTTTATTGCAAGTGGGCAATATTTTTGTATACTCTTTTTCTTTCTTTCTTCTTCTTCCTCTTTTTTTTTTTTTTTTAAAGACATGGAGTCTCACGTTATTGCCCAGGCTGGTCTTGAACTGAAGGGATCCTCCTGCCTCAGCCTCCTCAGTATCTGGGACTATAGGTACCTATCACTATGCCTTGCTTTCAGTCTACTCTTCTTAAAAACATATAAAAGTAGAATTTTTATATGTTTTTAAGTAGAAAAGTTTCCATATAAAAGTAGAATTTATAACTAAATTAGTTTAAAAGTGATCAGGTTGCTGTTTTGGAAACAGCCACATTGACACAAAAAGGTGAAGTGGCCTTTTTTTTGTTTTTGAGATGGAGTCTCGCTCTGTCGCCCAGGCTGAAGTGCGATGGCATGATCACAGGACCTGGGGTTTATGTACTTCCAAATAGTTATGGTGGTAGCAATGGCAGCAAACTATTGGCTATATAAATGGTTTAATTAATCTCTGATTTTTAGAGCTTCATGTAACACGTATGAACACTAGTAATAGCACTTAGTGTCTACTATGTGCCAGGTAATGTTTTGCATATATGAATTAATTTAACACTCACAACAATCCAGATGACGAGACTGAGGAACACAGAAGTTAAATAACTCTCTAAGGGCAAACAGCTAAAAAGTGAAGGAATGGAACCCAGGAATTCTGGTTAGACACTACCAGCGTGTTACAAATCTCCATTTCTATATCAAAAATACATAGGAAAAATGAGGAAGGGTGGGAAATACACAGAATGCCAAATGCCCATCAACTGGCTTATAATGCCAGGCATGGTGGCCCACACCTATAATCTCAGCACTTTGGGAGGATGAGGCAGGAGAATTGCTTAAGCCTGGGAGGTCGAGGCTGCAGTGAGCCATGGTCGCATCACTGTACTCAAACCTGGGTGATACAGCGAGATCCTGTCTCAAAAAAATAAAAAACAAAAACAAAACCAGGTTATGTACTTATTTTTATTTTATTTTGTTTTGTTTTTTTTGAGACGGAGTCTTGCTCTGTTGCCCAGGCTGGAGTGCAGTGGCGCGATCTCGGCTCACTGCAAGCTCCGCCTCCTGGGCTCATGCCATTCTCTTGCCTCAGCCTCCCGAGTAGCTGGGACTACCGGTGCCCGCCACCAGGTCTGGCTAATTTTTTTGTATTTTTAGTAGAGACGGGGTTTCATCGTGTTAACCAGGATGATCTCTATCTCCTGACCTTGTGATCCGCCTGCCTCAGCCTCCCAAAGTGCTGGGATTACAGATGTGAGCCACTGTGCCCAGCCTTATGTACTTATTTTTGAAGTGAAATGATGAAGTAAAGGATAGGAATTACAGGTCAGGCATGGTGGCTCACGCCTGTAATCCCAGCACTTTGGGAGGCAGAGGCAGGTGGATCACCTGAGGTCAGGAGTTTAAGACCAGCCTGGCCAACAAGGTGAAATCTCGTCTCTACTAAAAATACAAAAATTAGCCAGGTGTGGTGGTGCACACCTGTAATCCCAGCTACTCGGGGGGCTGAGGCAGGAGAATCACTTGAACTCGGGACGCAGAGGCTGCAGTGAGCCGATATCGCGCCACTGCACTCCAGCCTGGGTGACAGAGCGAGATTCCGCCTCAAAAAAAAAAAAAAAAAGAATTGGAATTACAGAAATTTTAAGGAGGTGGTGAGGGGAAAGTGCAGGACTAAAGTATAAAATTACTCATTATTTACAGAGTTTACAAATTTGTTTAGCATTATCTTTTTTGTTCAACATTATCTTAAGCCTCAAACTGGTATTTTTCTCTCTTTAGTCTTTAGTCAACTCTTTCACTGAATGAACTTAAATTCACATAAACAATCAGAACTTGTTAATTAATAACTTGGTTTGAATTTGAAAATCCAGAGATAAAGGTAGTTATCTAATTAAATGAAAACTTCCTAAAAGTAACACTCCAGATAGTGTTGTCAGTTCCAATGGCAATGTGATTAGTTTCTCTATAAAATTCAAAAACAACAAATTCCTTTGAACACAAAAATATCTTATTTTCCACAAATATCAAAAAAAGCTAAAAGTGATTTGTTTAGATGTCATGACATATTATTAATCAGATCTATACATGAAATAATTAATTTTAATAAATAGTAAAAGAAAAATTCACTTTTTATAAAGTAGTAATAAAAATATGAAAGTTTTTTTTTAAAAAGCAAATTCATGGAATACCAAAGATAGTTCTATGAGAAGAGTCATATGTATATAAAGCAACGTATTACCTCCAGATTCATCAGAATCCCTGGATCTGGCCTTAACAGTAGTGACACTGCTCTGAGAGCTGTCTTGATCATCTTCTTCAGTTTCTCCTAAAGAGAAGTAAACAATATACTAGTATACTCTTATTTTAATGCTCAAAAGATCTGAATTTTAAAAAAACAAGCAAGTAATTTAACATTAAGAGAAGGCTTTTAGGTTATCAGATACAGATCTGCTGTTTATCATGCTTATTATTTTGAATCCCAAAGTTCCAAATGAACTAAAATTTAGCTCAATTTGTGTTCTCTGGGGCACATAATACTTTCCTAAACAAATATTCACAGTAATATCTAAAAAACTATATTCTAAGCCTTTAATGTGGAGTCAAAAATGAACAGATGAGCATTAAACAGTGGAAAAAGTTTATGGGGAGGAAAACTACATATAATTAGTGTGTAGTTAAATTCAGATGTGTGTTTGTGTGTGTGTGTGTTGGTGGTGGAGGGGTAGTGTATACACACCTGCACACAAACATTCTATTATGCAGGTGACCACCCTCAGATTATGCTGGGCTTCAACAAAAACTAAATTTTACTCCTGTACTTTTCAAACATAACTGATTATGAGAATTTGGAAAACTGATTTTTTTTTTTTTTTTTGAGACGGAGTCTCGCTCTGTCACCCAAGCTGGAGTGCAGTGGCCGGATCTCAGCTCACTGCAAGCTCCACCTCCCGGGTTCACGCCATTCTCCTGCCTCAGCCTCCCGAGTAGCTGGGACTACAGGCGTCCGCCACCTTGCCCGGCTAGTTTTTTGTATTTTTTTAGTAGAGACGGGGTTTCACCGTGTTAGCCAGGATGGTCTCAATCTCCTGACCTTGTGATCCGCCCGTCTCGGCCTCCCAAAGTGCTGGGATTATAGGCTTGAGCCACCGCGCCCGGCCGAAAACTGATTATTTTAATACCATAATAGCAAATATTACCTTTGCTTAAAATGAACCCAAATAGACAAAAGATGCTTAAAATGTAAGGCTGTCATCACTCATTCTATCTTTCCTATTATTTCTGCCCAGTTAACAGTTTAGATAAGCATGAATTTTTTTTCATGAAGAAAAATACATTATTTTCTGTTCTCACTTTTTAAAGAGATGGGGTCTCACTACGTTGCCCAGGCTGGAGTGCAGTGGCTATTCACAGGTACAATCCCACTACTGATCAGCACGGGAGTTTTGACCTGGTCCGTTTCTGAACTGAATGGATTCACCCCTCTTTAGGCAACACGGTGGTCCCCCGCTCCCGGGAGGCCACCATATTGATGCCAAACTTAGTGCAGACACCCGGTCGGCATAGCACACTACAGATAGCCCAGAACTCCTGGACTCAAGTGATCCTCCTGCCTCAGCATCCTGAGTAGCTGGGACTATAGGCATGTGCCACAGTCCCCGGCTGTGTTCTCACTTCTTAAGTATCTATCAGAATGGCTTCTAATGTAAAGAAAAAGACTTCAAATATATATTGTATGATATTTAAAAATAAAATACCTTCTTCAGAGAAATTGACCTTCTGTTGGACACTGGTGGCTTCTAGAAGAGAAAAGCATACATCAAATATTAAACATATAACATCAAAAGTTAAAGCTTAGAAATAAACAAAAGCTTAGGAAAAAAAGTTAAAGCTTAGGAATAAAAAAAGCATCTCATTTAGGAAAATGAACGTAAGGACACATTAAATACATTCTTTTCCTGTTAAATCACTAAGAATTGGCCGGGGGTAGTGGCTCATGCCTATAATCCCAGCACTTTGGGAGGCCGAGGTGGGTGGATCACTTGAGGTCAGGAGTCTGAGACCAGCCTGGTCAACATGGTAAAACCCTGTCTCTACTAAAAATACAAAAATCAGCCAGGCGTGGTGGTGCATGCCAGCTACTCGGAAGGCTGAGGCAGGAGAACAGTTTGAACCTGGGAAACAGAGGTTGCAGTGAGCCGAGATTGCGCCACTGTACACCAGCCTGGGCGACACAGCAAGACTCTGTCTCAAAACAAACAAAAAAAGGAAATGAAGTGCTTGATTTTCCTTCAGTCACAGGTCTATTTTTACTCTAAAATGTAACCTTTGTATGCAAAAAAACATTAAATTCTACATTGAGAAATATTCTAGTGTGTATAGGTTTACTATATTCTCATTCTCTTATTTGCCAAATCCCCTGTACTCCCTTTAAAAACCAACTACACTAACTGGACTGATGAACCAGTTCTTTAGGGCACTGGTATATCCAAAGAGGAGGAAAGGTAAAGAAAATTCTCCTTCCGGCGGGTCCATGTACATCACTGTTTTCCAGAGCAACAGAGAATCTGAACAAAAATAAATAAGCAAAACACATCAAATAAACTTGGAACATAGTATTTTTACATGGACTATTGTGAAATTAAAAAAAAAAAAAAAGTGAGAAGTACCCAAAAGCAGGTATTGCACAATTGGGTTAAAATATCACTGAAGGATCATATGTAGAGAAGTAGCGTGATTTACACTTCTTCAACAAAACTCAGAATATTTCAGTTTTTAGCTCTACTAATTTTAACCTCAATTTTCTTATTAAAAGGGACAATAGCATTATGGAAAGCAAGTGCCAACACATTGTATGGTGAATTTGAAAATATTTCTTTTAAATCCATTTAATTAGATTAGTATAATACTAGTCAAGCTTTGAGTTCCACTGAAAATACTTCCTCTTGTCAGTGGCAAGTGCAAATTAGTATCTGAAATATATTTGCCAGCATTTTTTAATTAAAAAAAAAAAAAAACTAACCCAGAGAAAACTGCTGATAACACCATGTTACTCTTAAAGAGCTAGACTCTGGTGTATTAGGTACTATTTTGCTCTAGGTTCCTTAGGAACACTGTCCTTTCTTTTTCTCTTTTTTGAGGGAGAAAAAGGAAAAGTCAAAAAAAAAATTTTTAATTTAAAATAAGAGATGGGGTTTCACACGATGACCAGGCTGGTCTCAAACTCCTGGCCTCAAGAAATCCTCCCATCTCCTAGCCTATAATCCCAGCACTTTGGTCTCTTAAAGTGCTGGGATTACAGCCATGAGCTACACAGCTGGCCAAAAATTTTTAACTAATATTTCCATTCTACAAAAAGGTATTGTTCTCTTTTTGAAGTTTTATTCTCGAAGTGCATAATTATTATAGTACTTCGTATTTTTGTACAGCAGTTTTACTTTGTTCATTTATGTAACTATTCACATAGCATGCAAATATAAGATGCTTTCTTAATCAATAATCATATTTTTGTTATTATCTTAAAATGCTAAGTCCTTAATATTTGCATGATGCTATTTGGTTTTCAAAAAACCCTTCACGAATGTTATCTGATTCCCATCTTATAAGGGAAGATTTTCATAAGTAAGGTTCATAGATATCAAGTGACTTGTCTAAGGGTATAGGACTAATGTAATAATAAAAAAAGCTAGAAGACCACAGGCTCTTTTGACTTCCAGTCTATTACAATTCTGCCACCTCATCAGTCTTGTTCATAATAGCACATAATAAGCACTCAATAGTTTTTTGTTTGTTTTGAGACATGGTCTGGTTCTGTTGTCCAGGCTGAAGTGCAGTGGTGTGATCTTGGCTCACTGCAACCCCTACCTCCTAGGCTCAAGCCATCCTCCCACATCAGCCTCCCGAGTAGCTGTGACTACAGGCACATGTCACCATATCCTGCTAATATTTGTCCTTTTTGTAGAGACAGGGTTTTGTATGCCATGTTGCCCAGCTGGTCTCGAACTCTTGAGCTCAATAATCTGCCTGCCTTGGCCTCCCAAAATGCTGGCATTACAGGCATGAGCCACTGCGCTTGGTCAATTTTTTGAATAAATGAATAAAGAAAAGGCTGATAGCTGAACTTTTCCTAATATGAGAGGTTCCAACAAACTTCTAAGTGTAATTCATATAATACAGTAGGCTTTACTAAAGTCTCATTTATATTTCAGTGTTATGTTTTACATAGTTACTTTAAAAATTAGAAGGTAGACAAAACCTCTTTAACTACGGCTGAATGGATTTTAGAATCTATAATAATGGAAAGGATATGTTGGAGATTTACATCCATTTGTTGAGCTATCAGAACAGTATAGTACATAGTACAGTAGTATGACTAGTACAGTAATCCCTCCTTTTTTCATTTGATAGGCATGTTTTATCTGTGTACATTTGAAGATATGTTTTATTTCTGTCCACATTTGAAGCTCCAGGTCAATTTGTCTAGAGCCAATTCACTTAATATTTAATCCTCCATATACCAAGTTGCCTAAAATTCAGTCTGCTTTTTTCTATTTATCCATGTGTTATCTAATTAGCATGGATGGTTTAATAATTATTTTTTAGCCAGCTTACATAAGGGAGCTCCCCATTTGAAGTATCTAATAAATCATGGATTCTATCCATTTTTCAATACTTTTCAGACTTCTGGATTTAATCTAGTGACTAAAGATCGTGTTTTAGAATTCTATGTTCCTGACAATAAATATTTATCAATAGTATTCAAAACAGGAATAACTAGTTATGCAATGCTATCTTGATCCCATCACTAAAACCAAAAAAAGTACTATTTGGTGTTTTATAATCCAATAATATCTATGAATTAGATATCTTAAATAATAATAATCCCTGTAGATTTGAAGAATAATCATTACTGAATCAGGTTATCCATTGTTTTGGCTACAGATACATTTTAAAACATAGTTTTCATTTCAATCCCTGTAGATTTGAAGAATAATCATTACTGAATCAGGTTATCCATTGTTTTGGCTACAGATACATTTTAAAACATAGTTTTCATTCTGGTAAACAAAGCTCAAGAAACCCAAGCCTGCTATGATTTAAAATGTCATTCTAAAAATTATTTAATGTCTCAGATAAAGAATCATGGCTAGTGTGAGACTACTGTCTGTAATATAAAGGACTTTCTCATATTGCATGCTCTCTAAAGGTAAAATAATGTCTATTATAAAGCAAACTGTAGTATTTGCAAGTCTCCGTCCTCATCCTGCCTGCTATTCATCCCTCAAAATTCAATCCAAATGTCATTTCCAACTCATAAAGCTGCCTCAACCTCTTCCACTGAGTACGGTGCTTCTCGTCTAGGCTCCCACAGACATGTATCACTATTTAGCACTTAAAAAAAAATGATTTGTAAACTTGTTTTTCTTTTCCATTACCTCACATACATCTAAGAGGTAGAGGAAAAAAAAAAAAAAAAAAAAACCCGAATGGCTATTTATGAGCCTAGTATTTAGGTCAGTCACTGACATAAAGAAGGTGTTTAAAAATGTTTGGCCAGGCATGGTGGCTCATGCCTTGTAATCCCAGCACTTTGAGGTGGAGGCTGCAGTGAGCGGAGATCACGCTACTGCAACCCAGCCTGGGTGACAGAGTGAGACCCTGTCTCAAAAAAAAATTTAAAAATAAAAATGTTTGTTCCATGAATAAAATATATTTTATGATTACAGAATAAAGTCTGTGTAGTCTAGACTTTTGCTAATATTTTTCATACTATGATTAATGTTACTTAGCAACTTAAGAAAAAGTCTAAAATTAGTGCTCAATAATTAGATTACCTGCAAAGTTTTAAACATTCTACCTGTTTTCCCCTTTTTACCCAAGCTGCAAATAATGGAAATAAATATTTAAGTGTGATCTGATGATGAATCAGTAGCTATGGCTACATAAGCTTTAATTTCATTTCCCTCTTTTGTTATTCAGCTACCTTTATTTTAAACTTGGCTGCTACATGTAGAAAGTTAAAGCATTAGATTTTTTTGTTTTTGTTTTTGTTTTTTGAGACAGAGTCTCACTCTGTCACCCAGGCTGGAGTGCAGTGGTGCGGTGTCGGCTCACTGCAACCTCCGCCTCCAGGGTTCAAGTGATTTTCCTACCTCAGTCTCCTGAGTAGCTGGGACTATAGGCGTGTGCCACCATGCCCGGCTAATTTTTGTATTTTTAGTAGAGACGGGGTTTCGCCATGTTGGCCGGGCTGGTCTTGAACTCCTGACCTCAGGTGATCCACCTGCCTCAGCCTCCCAAAGTGCTGGGATTACAGGCATGAGCCACTGCACCCAGCCTCTTTTTTCTTTTGAGACAAGGTCTCTTTTTGTTGCCTAGGCTGGAGTGCAGTGGCACAATCTCAGCTCACTGCAACCTCTGCGTCCTGGCTTCAAGTGATCCTCCAGACTCAGCCTCCCAAGTAACTGGGACTATAGGCACATGCCACCACACCCAGCTAACAGTTGCATTTTTTTCTGTAGAGATGAGGTTTCGCCATGTTGCCCAGGCTAAATTTCTGGGTTCAAGTGATCCACCTGCCTGGGCCTCCCAAAGAGCTGGCATTACAAGCATGAGCCACCATGCCTGGCCTTAAAAAAAATACTTTTTTAAAAAAGGTATTACTCTTCCCAATGTTCATATAGAAGCTTTGAGAATTAAAATCATATTTTGAGCAAAAAATCCTTAATATTAAAACATTATTGAGAAACTCATAAAGGCTGTGGCTGTAACAAATATATAGACAAATGGTAATAACTAAACCATGCTGTTTAAGAAGGTGTTATATTTTCCAATAACCTCAACCAATTAGGAAAAGCTACTTTCAGAAGTCCCAGGTCTTTATGTTTGTTTTAAGATAGACCACTTAATAGTCATCCCCTCTAGTGAAAACCAAGCACTAATTGTGCCACTTTCTATTTACTTTCTGTTACTTGGCCACAGTTTTTAAGGAATTCAAACCTTAGGTATAACCCAGCTTTTTACAACTTACAAAATTCCCTAGTTATTTTGAAAGCCCAGGTGCCAAAGCATCTACATTTCTCCTGTAGATTTCGCTATTCCTAGAGATTTGTGGGAGGTACTTGGTGTGAGGAGCAAAGGCCACTCAAGAAAATATAAACTTGGCTTACTTTGTGTTTTGTCTGGGGACAGACGTGAAAATATAAATAAGACCACTGTGCTTTCTCAAAGGAATACTGGATAGAACACAGGAGTCATTGTTTCCTTTCTTCATTTTTTTTTTTTGAGATGGAGTCTCGCTCTTGTCGCCCAGGGCGTGTGATGGCACTATCTCGGCTCACTACAACCTTCAACTCCCGGGTTCAAGCGATTCTCCTGCCTTAGCCTCCCGAGTAGCTGGGATTATAGGTGCCCACCACCACGACTGGCTAATTTTTGTAATTTTAGTAGAGATGGGGTTTCACCATGTTGGCCAGGCTCATGTCGAACTCCTGACCTCAGATTCTGTCCACCTCAGCCTCCCAAAGTGCTGGGATTACAGATGTGAGCCACCACGCCTGACTTGTTTCCTTTCTTCTTGTGCTCTAGGTACAACCTAGTATGGAGTGTTGTAATAAATACATGTTCAGGCAAGTATGTAACTTCTGAATTTACTATGACAACAAACGACCATTTGGGTGATTTGTCGTCTTTATTCTTGCCATCACTATAAATCAGGGGTCAGCAAACTTTTTTTTATAAAGGACTAAATAGTAGATATTTTAAGCTTTGTGAGTCACATAAGGTCTCTGTTACATGCTTTGTTTTTTTTCAGGAGTGTAAAAATTCCTTCTTAGTTCATCGGCTGAATAAAAAGATTGTAGGCCAATTTCACACAGAAGCTGTAGCTTGCTGACCCCAGGTACAGATAGTTTTAAGACTATCTGCTGGGCATGGTGGCTCACGCCTGTAATCCGAGTACTTTGGGAGGCCAAGGAAGGTGTATCATTTGAGGTCAGGCGTTCAGGACCAACCTGGCAAGCATGGTGAAACACTGTCTCTGCTAAAAATACAAAAATTAGCCAGGCATGGTGTCATGTGTCTGTAATCCCAGCTACATGGGAGGCTGAAGTCAGAGCATTGCTTAAGCCTAGGAGGTGGAGGTTGCAGTGAGCTGAGATTGTACCACTACAGTCCAGCCTGGGTGACAGAGCGAGACTGTCTCAAAAAAAAAAAAAAAAAAAAAAGACTATTCGATGCCAATCATGCTTTTGAGAATACAGTCAAGAGTGGGGCAGCGGCCGGGTGCGGTGGCTCAAGCCTGTAATCCCAGCACTTTGGGAGGCCGAGACGGGCGGATCATGAGGTCAGGAGATCGAGACCATCCTGGCTAACACGGTGAAACCCCGTCTCTACTAAAAATACAAGAAAATTAGCCGGGCGAGGTGGCGGCGCCTGTAGTCCCAGCTACTCGGGAGGCTGAGGCAGGAGAATGGCGTGAACCCGGGGGAGCGGAGCTTGCAGTGAGCTGAGATCGCGCCACTGCACTCCAGCCTGGGCAACAGAGCGAGACTCCGTCTCAAAAAAAAAAAAAAAAAAAGAGTGGCGCAGCAGGAGGAGAGAGCAAAGAATAGTCTGGTGTTATCACTAGTATTCAAACTCCACGAATCGCCATTTCATATACTCCAAGGTGTACTAACGTTACTATAAAGGAATTGAAGAATGTCATTCTTTGTTTTATTTATTTATTTATTTATTTATTTATTTATTTTGAGACTGAATCTCGCTCTATCGCCCAGGCTGGAGTGCAATGGCACAATTTCGGCTCACTGCAACCTCCACCTCCCCGGTTCAGGCAGTTCTCCCTGCCTCAGCCTCCCAAGCAGTTGGGATTACAGATGCCCACCACCATGCCTGATTAATTTTTTGTATTTTTAGCAGAGACAGGGTTTCACTCTGTTGGCCAGGATGGTCTCAAACTCCTGACCTCAGGTGACCCACTTGCCTCAGCCTCCCAAAGTGCTGGGATTATAGGCATGGGCCACCGTGCCCAGCCTCATTCTTTGTATTAAACCCACAGAAAATGACTTTAAAATGAAAATCTCTTTTTTAAATTTACAATCACAGAAAAAAATGAATTTAAATAATATGACAATTTCAGACAATAAAAAACAAAGTTTTTATTACAAGGTGCTCATAAAAATGATTTTTAAGTCCAGCAAAGAGTGTTAGGTTATTTCAGCTCCAAGTTATCTTTTTTAAAAAGTTTTTTTTTTTTTTTTTGAGACAGAGTTTTATTACTCTTTTTGCCCAGGCTGGAGTGCAGTGGCGCAATCTTGGCTCACTGCAACCTCTACCTCCTGTGTGTAAGTGATTCTCCTGCCTTAGCCTCCCAAGTAGCCGGGGTTACAGGTGCGCAGCACCTGTGTGAGCTACCGCACTTAGCCTAAAAAGTTTTTTTAAGTATCTAAAGAAGTGGCCTCAACTTAAGCGAAAGATGAATTAGAAGAATGTGCAATGATTTATAAAGAAAAATGAAGCGTTTCCCTTTTGGCTCATCTTCAAATTTAGAAAAAAATTAAAATGTAAAAAAAACTAAGTCCAATGACATTCAGTGTAGATTCATTTAAAACCAGAAATCGTAGTATGTCATGTCCTACAGCCAGAGAGACACTGAAATGAATTAAAACCAGTTCAACAAACATATTATAGCAAAGGGCACTGAACTTACTATGAACAAAGTATCAAATTCACTTTCTAAATCAAGAAAGGGCTGCCGTGCAGTCGCTCATGCCTGTAATCTCAAAACTTTGGGAGGCCAAGGCAGGTGGATCGCTTGAGGTCAGGAGTTCGAGATCAGCCTGACCAACGTGGTGAAAGCCCACCTCTACTAAATATACAAAAATTAGCTGGGTGTCATGGTGGTCATCTGTAATCCCAGACGCTTGAGAGGCTGAGGCAGGAGAATCACTTGAACCCAGGAAGTGGAGCTTGCAGTGGGCCAAGATCACGTCATTGCACACCAAGATCACGTCATTGCACACCAGCCTGGGTGATAGAGCAAGACCCTGTCTCGAAAAAATAAAAATAAATAAATAAAAATAAAAAATAAAAATAAAAATCAAGGGAAAGACTGGGTGTGGTGGCTCACGCCTATAATCCCAGCACTTTGGGAAGCCAAGTGGGGGTAGATCACAAGGTCAGGGAGTTTGAAACCAGCCTCGCCAACATGGTGAAACCCTGGAGTTTGAAACCAGCCTGGCCAACATGGTGAAACCCTGGAGTTTGAAACCAGCCTGGCCAACATGGTGAAACCCTGTCTCTACTAAAAATACAAAACAAGTAGCCAGGCATGGTGGTGGGCACCTGTAATCCCAGCTACTTGGGAGGCTGAGGCAGGAGAATTGCTTGAACCTGGGAGGTGGAAGTTGCAGTGAGCCAAGATCGCACCATTGCACTACAGCTTGGGTGACAGAGCAAGACTGTCTCAGAAAAACAAAAACGAAAACAAAATAAATCAAGAGAAAAAACTTAATTGGTAAGTTGATACCTTTTTCCGAATAGTGTGAATTTAATGAAGACTAGCAAGGACTAAATTGATTTATTAAATGTTTTTATATGAATTTAAGCAATAATATAGGCATAACTACAGACAACAAAAACCAAGGCTATTTATGGGAGGTCCTAGTCATAGGGACTATGTCCCCACAAGCTGACGTAATAAATTAGTATTCTCAAGCCAATGACTAGATAAGTATACTCTTGTATTCTATTAATCTAGACCCTTAAAGAGGCCCTATAAGAATTAGAGATAGGGTTGGGTGCAGTGGTGCATGCCAATAATCCCAGCACTTTGGGAGGCTAAAGTGGGTGGATTGCTAGAGCCCAGGAATTCAAGACTAGCCTGGGCAACATGGTGAAACCCTGTCTCTATAAAAAATACAGGAATTAGCCAGGCATGGTGGCACATGACTGTAGTCCCAGCTACTCCGAAGGCTGAGGTGGGAGGCTCAGTTAAGCCTCCGGAGTAGCTGGGACTACAGTGGGAGGAGGAGGTTGCAGTGAGCCAAGATCATGCCACTGTACTCCAACCTGGGTGAGAGTGAGACCCTGCCTGGAAAAAAAAAAAAAAAGAATAGAGATAAACGAACCTAATTCACTCATTTTAGTATTTTCATTTGTTTTGTAGGTCAAATCTGCAAGAGACATAGCAAGAGAATGATTAGGGCTGAAAAGGAAATGCATCATATGGTTCTTTACCACAGGTTCATCAACAAAGCCTTAGTAGATCTTTACCACTGGAATACTTAATAGGATAGTCAACGATCTATTGAAATAAATCAACATAATTCTTTGTTAAAGAGAATGGGAAGCTACAGAAACCTAATGTAAAGATAAATACATTTCCCTTTCAGTTCCCATGATAAAGCATCTTTAAGAGCCAAAAAAACAATGAAAATGAAGTAAAAGTAGACTGGAGTAACTTTACTAGTTTTCTTCATAGTCATGAAATCAATTTCAGGGCAATACTTTTAATCATTTTAGTCAAAAAGATAACTGAGGGAGGGATATTTTGTCGTCCTGTGCCACGGAGCTCCATCTTGAATTTTCTGTTAGCAGTATACTGGAAGAATAAAGTCCCTGACCATAGTTTAAAATCATCATAGTTAACAGAAAGAATCACAGGAATATATAAAAAACAATCTCTTCAAAAAAGGAAGCTCTTTATATATGAATATAGAAATATCTCTGGTATATATGTTAAGTAAAAATAAACAACAAGAAAGTGCAGAAAAGAAAGCCAGGTGCCGTGGCTCATGCCTGTAACCCCAGCGCTTTGGGAGGCTGAGGTGGGTGGATCACTTACCCAGGCGTTTGAGATCAGCCTGGGTAACATGGCAAAATCCCATCTCTACAAAAGATACAAAAATTAGCCAGGCGTGGTGGTGCATGCATAGTCCCACTACTTGGCGGGCTGAGGCAGGAGGACTGCTTGAGCCGGAGAGGTTGAGGTTGTAGTCAGCCCTGGTTGTGCCACTGCACTCCAGCCTGTATGACGGAGTTAGACCTTGTCTCAAAATAATAATAAAAAAAAAAGACAGAAATGAGAGTTTATAAAGCCGAAATTTATGTTACAAAAAGGACAAGATAATTTTATCCATGAATTTCTGTGAATCTCCAAAAAATATAAACTGACAACATTGGTTGCTTTTGATGAAGAGACTGGCTGGCTGAAGAACAGAGGGGCAGGGAGCCTTTTTCATGTATATTGATAGTAACTTTTGAGTTCTGAATCATATGAATACGTGTACAACCATATTTAAAAACAGAATTGTATTTATAGAAAAGGTAAGCCAACAGACAATAGAATTGTATTTACAGAAAAGGTAAGCCAACAGACAATCTCTTACCAGATCGTGGGTATCTTAGAGGGGGTCGACATAAGCTGATTGCAAGATCTTCACTCACCGCTAATACAGGAAGAGAAAACATTTAAAAATATATAAAATGTGAAACACACTAGCTTTATTATATGATAATCTCTTATCTATTCAACAAAGGTTTACAGAGCTTTTATTTATGTTAGAGGAGCAGAGACAAGTTTTCTAAGTGACAACTATTGTGAACTAGTGATGACAATGAACTAGAGACAAGTTTCCTGCCATATAAAATTTACAGTCTTGACGGAGAAATTTGCAATTTTTCTCAGCAAACCGTAGCTGTAGAAAGGAAAGAAATACTAAATAAAAATATTCTAAATTGCTCAGTTAAGAATCAAAATCTGTATTATGGCACCAACTCAATTACCTATTCCATTTGTGATGGACCCTCATTGTGGATTATTTATGGAATATTTTAATTTTAGGCTTAACATCTTGAGACTTAATATACTCATTCTAACTATTTAACCTTGTATTGAAGAAATGCAAGTTAATTTTAAATAAAAACGTTAATGTGGGCCAGGGTTCATTTCAGACCCTCTCTAGTTCCATAGCATTGGGTTAGTGGAAAAGCCGATCCTATTAAAATGTTAATTTTAGTCTAGAAAACCACCTATAAAGGTATATTTTCTCCAAGTACCTCAATAACATATTCTAAAACCAAAGATTTACCAAAATTTGGATTATATTATGTTTTGTTTCATTCATCTGCATAAAAAAGCTTTATGTCTTAGCGCTGAGTTGCAAAAACCACATTCTGGAACTCTGACGTTCCCCTTAAATATTCCAGCTCTAAGATTCTATGAAATATCTATCTCAGTATTTCACATATCAAGTATTTAGAACTTATATCAATATCTTTAAAAATAAATCTTTCCAGCCTAGGCAACATACTGAGACCCTGTCTCCACATAAAATAAAAAAATTAACCAGACATAGTGGTGTGTGCCTGTAATTCCAGCTATTTGGGAGGTGAAGGCAGGAGGATGATAGTTTGAGTCCAGGAGTTTGTGGCTGCAGTATAACTGCACTGCACTCCAGCCTGGGTGACAGTGAGACCTTGTCTCTTTAAAACAAAAACGAAAACGAAAACCCTGCACACATGATAATAAAGGCAAATTTTAGTTCCTGTTACTCCACATATTACAACTACCTTTCTCTTTTTCTTCTCTGTACTTCCAGCCTTTTCAGGTTGAACTAAAAACTAAACCTCAAAATCTGTTTGTGGTTTGTTTGCTTTTACTAAGCTACATTTAATCAAACTTACTCTACAGACATTAATCACTACTTCAGTTCCCATCTTTTCATTTAAGAAGCATTTCCTGTATATGCTACTATATACATAACCCACGTAAAGTACTTGAATAGGGTACCAGACAGAGGTATGAGAGAATAAAATATTAAGTACCCTTCTTTGATAGGAGGCTCCCTCACTTGTCTGCTTTTGTTCACCACTGCACCCTCAAATCAAAGCATGGAGACTGGCACAAAGTAGGTGCTCAATAAGTATCTGGAGAATGAATGCTCTAACTACAGTAGCTAGAGAAGCAAATGTTCATGATAAAATAGTAAGCATTTAAGAACAACTATTTATGATTATTCAGCTAGAAACCACACTAGTAGAACAAAAATATCCGGTTAACTTTTGGAAAAATAAATAAAATTTGTCCTAATATATTTTTGGATTACAAAATTAGTGTCATAATTTCCAGAAAGGAATGAATCTGGCCATAGGAGAATAACTGTTATGTAGGTATATATGACCTGAATTGATTAAACAACCTAACAGCTATTTTAAGTGAAAACAACTCAATTATGGAATTTCAAACAATGAGAAGATTTCAAACTATATTCCTGTTCTGAATTAATCAACATTTTTCAAGTTTTTCAATAACAAGATGACCAAATGATGTATTTTTACTATGTTTTTTTATAAGGTGGTCCTTTGGTTTAGGTCTTTATTCTTTTTTTTTTTTTTTAGACGGACTCAGGCTCCACCACCCAGGCTGGAGTGCAGTGGCACGATCTTGGTTCACTGCAACCTCCGCCTCCCAGGTTCAAGCGATTCTCTTGCCTCAGCCTCCTGGGTAGCTGTGGTTACAGGCGCCCACCACCACACCTGGCTAGTTTTTGTATTTTTAGTAGAGACGGGGTTTTCACCATATTGGCCAGGCTGGTCTCGAACTCCTGACCTCATGATCCGCCCACCTTGGCCTCCCAAAGTGCTGGGCTTATAGGTGTGAGCCACTGCACCCGGCCTAGGTCTTTATTCTTAAGGGCATCTTTGCATAATTTTCTCTCAGACCACACCGGTAGCCTTACATACAATTATAGCACTGTTTTGAATATCAAAGTTAAACTGAATGCCTATCATTCTATGAGGAAGAAGGGCTTATCTTTACCTTAAACTTATACTTAAAGCAGTCCTCCATCAAAGAGTGACTCCATCTAAATAATTTCTCTTAGACTTTATAAGCATTTAATAATTCCCTAAACTCTCCTTTCATTAAGAGGCATGGGATGGGAATATGCTAAGTATTAGATGTAGTATAAAAGCACCTTTTAGAGGAAGAAAACCCTGAGTATCTCAAACCTCTCAAAGACAGACATATTCTTATTTCTAGTAATAGTGAATGCACAGTATGCTATTGATACAGTCCAAGTAATCTACATACAGATTCCATTTAATCTGTCACTTACATTGGTAAACATTTTCAATTTCCATTTATAGCATAAGCTTCTTGAGAAGAAGGATACACTTAAGCAAAATGTATGTTTATTGTGGCACTTTTCACAATAGCAAAAACTTGGAACCAACCCAAATGCCCATCAATGATAGACTGGATTAAGAAAATGTGGCACATACACTATGGAATACTATGCAGCCATAAAAAAGGATGAATTCATGTCCTTTGTAGGGCCATGGATGAAGCTGGAAACCATCATTCTTAGCAAACTATCGCAAACTATCGCAAGGACAGAAAACGAAACACCGCATGTTCTCACTCATAGGTGGGAATTGAACAATGAGAACCCTTGGACACAGGATGGGGAACATCACACACGGGCGCCTGTCATGGGGTGGGGGCACGGGGGAGGGTAGCATTAGGAGATATACCTAATGTAAATGATGAGTTAACGGGTGCAGCACACCAACATGGCAGCTGTATACATATGTAACAAATCTGCACATTGTGCACATGTACCCTAGAACTTAAAGTATAATAATAAAAACTTAATCCATTTTAAACAGAGGACAGTATGACATATTCATTCAGTTGACATTTAACAAACTTTACTGAGTAGCTAGTTATGACATGAGAGAATGATAGTGAGGCACTTGGAAGATGAAAGGGCTCTGGAGAAGACAAATCTGGGTCTGAATTTTGGCTCAGTCACATACGTGACCTTACAGAACTGTCTTAGCTTCTCTGTGCTTCAGTTTTCTCTTCTTTGAAATTGGTATAGTATGTATGTTACAAGGTTATATGGGTGGCTGGTACTCTTGAGTACTCACATGTCTGCCCTTGTCTTTACACATATTTACATTGCTTACTTCAATGAACATTTAAAAAGTTGGTAGGTAAGGAGATAAACAAAAAGTCAACTCTTCTTACCTGGAGCCTCTTGTATGCTCCTGACAGTTTTCTTTGAAATCGTTTGGCTTAAATCAGTTTCGGAAGATGGTTCATCCTCTAAAAAACAGACGTAACTAGAGTTAAAATTCAGAATATATGACCTGGGAGATAATGGCACAGATTATGCATTTTTGTAATAATACATATGCAAAAATGCAAGAAATTCATTTCTTTAGAAACAGGTGGTTAGGTTTACCAAAATTTAGGAATTAAACTAGTCAGAACTCCTCTTGGGACAGAATACAACTAATTCGTTAGAATATAGTAATATTTGCCACTGTTGTTTTACAAAAATATATCATTTCAGAAAATCAAAAAGATGGGGTAGAGAATCACAAACAATGTGGAAGAATGCAGAAGAGTGAAAATGTTTAGATCTTTAAAGATTTAATAAAATAGGGGTAAATTCTTTACTTGTTAAAAAAATGTTAGCCTATATAACTGCACTAGGCTCTGTGGGACTCAATACAATGTAACATATTTATTGCCTACCTTGTGCAAAGCATTCTTCCAGGTACTGAAAGATACTGAATTAAACCAAGTACTTAAATTACTATCAAATATATATGATAGGCTCCTTGTCTGCAAAAACTTTGTAATTTTTTTTTTTTTTTTTTTGAGACGGAGTCTCGCTGTGTCGCCCAGGCTGGAGTGCAGTGGCCGGATCTCAGCTCACTGCAAGCTCCGCCTCCCGGGTTTTTACGCCATTCTCCTGCCTCAGCCTCCCGAGTAGCCGGGACTACAGGCGCCCGCCACCTCGCCTGGCTAGTTTTTTGTATTTTTTAGTAGAGACGGGGTTTCACCGTGTTAGCCAGGATGGTCTCGAACTCCTGACCTCGTGATCCGCCCGTCTCGGCCTCCCAAAGTGCTGGGATTACAGGCTTGAGCCACCGCGCCCGGCCAAAACTTTGTAATCTTAAAAGAGATAAAACACACATATATATGGGCTAAACTGTCTTGAGTTGCTACACCCAAAAGTAACTGACACAACTTTAACATAAAGTTGCCAAAATCAAGTCTTCAAATCTGTCAGTACCTTCACGAGTCAGCAGGTAAACTTGCAGCCTATCATCGTGCTGTAAGCTGAAAACCCACTCCTCCGCATATCAATAGTCTACCACAAACTATGTCTTCCCATTGTGACTCAGGTCCGCTGATTTTTACCTCACAGGTGCCTTACGTGGGACTAACATGAAACTTCATCTGTGACTCAGTGTTGGGTCCCAAAATGGGGGGGCAGGGTGGGAGAGGATAGGTTAAGGAAACTGATTCACCTATGACTTACCTAACACTATACATTCACTCTGTCAGCATCCCTTTTGTCCATTTAGACGAAAACTAATTAATAGTATTGTTTTTCAGGTTGCTTTGTCAGCCTGATTTGCCAGACTACTTGAGGTTACAGTGACGGCCACCAAAGTGGCAGATTTTTGGCAGGGACCACCACACTGGAGAAAGAGCAATCAGCTCAAGTTTATCAGACACTGGGGAACATGAGTTCAGGAAAAATGAGTTACCCCATTTCGGTGTAAGTATTGGGTGAGGTCTCAAATCAATTAACTAAACTCAGCAATCCCTCGAAATGCCCACTCACAAAATTTCTCCTTTCTCTCTCTCCACCTGGGTGGGGAGGGAAAACGACTGAAAGGTTTGATCCTCAGCTGGAGACTCTGGCCTGCCAGCGTTAAAAAAGGAAATGGAAGTGGTTTCCGTAGAAACATCCGCAGGGTAGACGAAACCAAAATGAAACCGAACCTGGAGTAATTCGCTGTCCCCTCGTGAAGGCCTGCAGAAAAAGGCAGCCCTGACTCCCCTAAATTGATGCCCGATGTTGGTCAGAGCGCCCCAGCCCTGCCCGGGTCGCTCCATACGACCATCTTTCCACTCCTTAGGTCGGCGCTTCCTTCCCCGCTGCGGGTCAGGATGGCCCTTGCACGGCGACACACGTCCAGAAGGGACTGAGGAGTACCCAGTACCCAATCCCAGTACTTAGTACCCAGGCGGGGATGAGCTCCACGGAGGCGCGCGCCCGCCCCCGCGCGTTCCCTGGCTCGCGGCTGGGACTGTTACCTCCGCGGTCCTCACCTTCAGAGGAATGACAGTCCCGCAGCCCTCTCCTGGTCGTAACGGGAGACGGCTGTAGCGGAGGCTGCTGTGAGTACTGCTGCTGAAGGCGGGTAGCCCTTCGCGTCTGCATCTCTTCGGCTTCCTGGAGTCGCGGCAGCCTCCGCCGCTGCCTAGAACGAAGGTAGTACGAGCTTTCTCTCACTTCCTCTTTCGCAGAATCGGGCCGGAACTCTTCTAGCCGGCTTCGTTTTCCCACCGGGGACCTTTCTTTGGCCACCAGGGGCTCGAAGTCTCCGTACACTTCTGGCGGCTCCTCCGAGAACCTCACTTCCCGCCGGCCCTGGCGCGACAGAGGAGTTCCGTACGCAGGCGCGTCGCTGCTGCCGCCATTTTGAGGGGCGAGCCGGCCCCTTCCTTCTCGGATGGGGGCCCTGGGAGTGACGTACACACCCCATCCTTCCCGCACCGCCTCCGCCCGCGGTCCCTCGCCCGCCATAGTTGTTGACGTAGCTTTAGTTGATCGCGAGGATGGCTTTCTGGATCCTAGGTTCTCCTGCCGGTGGCGGCGATGGCTTCTCGGGTGTGTTAGGCGGTGGTCGCTGTGGTCAGGGAGGCAGTTGCGAGTCGCCGGGGCCGCCGCCTGCGTCGTCGCTGCTGTGTAGCAAACCTGCCTCTGGGCCCATGGTGTGTCTTGAGGGCTGTGGAAGAGGCAGTGCCTGAGCTGGGTCAGCTGCTGTGGGTCGCTCCCGCCTCCTGGCTGGAGACACCAAAGAGGAGGAGAAGGGGGAGGAGGACGTCTCTGCCTTCGGCCTTCAGTAAAGGAGGGGTGGGGGCGACGGAAGGGTGGCAGGGCAAATTGCCTGTCCCAAGTCGAGCCGCTCGTGGCAAGTTTTGCCTGCATATAGGAGACGCCCGTCCTATCTCCCACTACCAAGTCTGCGGGAAAAGGAGTGAGACGAGGGTGAAGAAGACCAGGTTTCGCTTCTCGGCCCCAGGCTGTTGCGCAGTTTCCCTGGAATCGTTTTGATCGACTGCTACGTTGAGCATGTCCTTCCCAGTGTCCTTAGCAGGAGCGATGGCCAGAGAGATAACTTTTGCACATGTCATGTTTTCGTGGCAAAAATTTTAGTTTCAAGTTCCTTATGAAGGCGGTTACCTAGTTTTAAATTTTGTCACCTGTTGAGGTTGTACAAAATCCTGTCTACAGTCATACTCTTTGAATGTATTTTCTTTTCCGAAATGTACCCATAGGAAACATGACCTTATTCCTGGTCTTTAATATTTCTTGGTTTTATACCAAGCAGCACTGTTCGGAAGACCATGTTAGTGCTACATTGTGCACAGTGAGGAACACGTTTTTTTATTAAAGACAGTACTGTAATTTTAAGTTGTGATCCATTATTTTTACTTTTATTCTGGATATGACGTGATACTCTACATTTGATTTAAAATGCTTTCTGGACTTTCTGGAATAAGCATGGTAAAAGCTATTTGTTTCACCTCCATATACCATGTTTATAGATGTGGCTAATCTGCAAATACCTAACCAAATTTAGACACACTCAGAGAAGGTCGATTAAGTTCGTGTAAAGTCTGAATAATTATTGAAAAAAAGCTCAAATCACCTTCAAATATACAACTTCTTGTGGGACTTGCTATGATTGGAGTGAACAGATTTTAAAAATTGTAATTTGGATACCAGTTACAATGAGTGATTCTGAAAAGTTTGAAGGTGTTTGTTTATTCTTCCAAGTAATCACCTTAAAATGCTTCTGAGCAACTCATTTGTTGCTCAGACTTGGCACAAATTTCAACTACTTAGGTCGTAATGTGTACTACGTTTTTAGTTTTTATTTTATTTTATTTTGAGACGGAGTTTGCTCTGTCACCCAGGCTGGAGTGCAGTGGCACGATCTTGGCTCACTGCAAGCTCCGCCTCCAGGGTTCACGCCTTTCTCCTGCCTCAGCCTCCCCAGCAGCTGGGACTACAGGTGCCAGCCGCCACGTCCGGCTAGTTTTTTGTATTTTTAGTAGTGACGGGGTTTCACCGTGTTAGCCAGGATGGTCTGGATCTCTTGACCTCGTGATTCGCCCGCCTCGGCCTCCCAAAGTGCTGGGATTACAGGCATAAGCCACTGCGCCTGGCAGTGTACTATGTTTTTACTAATATTGTCCATAAATGTGGCCACAGGCACGAGGAATTAGAGTTTTAGAGTGAGATAGGGTTTGGCCTGGTAGGAGCTTAGTTTACTGTAGCTTTATATACAATATAGCTTTTAAAAACTGCAGGAAAGTAACAAAAGAGACTTCTTTATCCCTGTCTCTTTCTTTTTCTTCTTTCTTCTTGTCTTTTAAGGAAAAATGAAAAGGGTACTCTCCCTTGTCAGCCTGATTAGATGGTATATTTCGGAAATTTGCTAGATTTTTCCAACAAAATACTGATAAGTATTGATATGGTAATACATGGCTTTTATTTATGTTTTAAGTAGGGCTTTCCCTTTAAGGTGGCTATTACATGACTCATTAGTAACACAATAGTGTAAGTTCCTTGATAGATTTAATTATTAAATATAAATTTTACGGTAATATATTGAGTTCATGTTATGAACATTAAAGTCTCCTTGAAACATTTTACCAAGACAGATGACTATATAGAAACTGGGATACTAGCTTATAAAACTTGGATACAGGCTTGTAAAACTTAGGGTTGAGGGACAAGTTAAAAAAGAGAAGAGATTCTACATACTGAACAATCAGAGAAGATGAGAGGTTCTACATATTATTGAATAATCAGAATGTGCATATTTTGTAATTAAAACTGCTTGTAAAGGCTTAGGAATGGCCTTTCAACTAAATTAATGAGACACTGTAAAATTAGAGGCATAGTAACTTTAATGGTAATATACATACATACATATATATATATGCATAGGATTTTCCCTCTCTTGTGTAGGTTGTAAGCATACAGAAACCTACCTCTACTGTGACTGCCTCCTTCACCTAGAAACCTTGCAGATACCACACTGACTAACTCTGAGGCAAAACTAAACTGTTATAAAACTAGATACTCTGCTGTAGCTATTATCCAGACTATAAGAGTTGCTCAAAAGAGGTGACATTACAGTGACAGTAGACTCATAGCCAATATTATAAGGGATGCGCTGGGCCACTAAAAAAGGAGGCCTCAGCTCTGGATGTTAAAGTTACTTTGGGAATTTGAGAAATCTGGAGGAATTCAGCGACTCATAAAAGAAGACCAGTAAGAAAAGAAATGATTAGGCCGGGCGCGGTGGCTCAAGCCTGTAATCCCAGCGCTTTGGGAGGCCGAGACGGGCAGATCACGAGGTCAAGAGATCAAGACCATCGTGGCTAACACGGTGAAACCCCCGTCTCTGCTACAAAAATACGAAAAAACTAGCCGGGCGAGGTGGCGGGCACCTGTAGTCCCAGCTACTCAGGAGGCTGAGGCAGGAGAATGGCGTAAACCCGGGAGGCGGAGCTTGCAGTGAGCCGAGATCCGGCCACTGCACTCTAGCCTGGGGGACAGAGCGAGACTCCGTCTCAAAAAAATAAAAAAGAAAGAAAGAAAGAAAAGAAATGGTTAAAACAAAGAATACACTAAATAATTCATTTACTTACCAAACATGTATTTTATGCCAGCAATGAGGAAGATTGCTTTACCTTTAGGGAATTTGCCATTTATTGGGAAAGAGAAACACGAAAAATTACAATTCAGATTAAATGACCGGCATTAATTCACACACTTAACTATTAGGGCTAGGTCTAGAAATCCTGTGCTCTTGAGACTGGGTTCCTAAATCAGTTACTTTGTTTCATTTTTAATTTATTTATTTAGAGACGGAGTCTGGCTCTTTCGCCTAGGCCGGAGTGCAGTGGCGCAATCTCAGCTCACTGCAGCTTCCCCCCACCCCGGGTTCAAGTGATCTCATGCCTCAGCCTCCCGAGTAGCTGGGATTACAGGTGTCTGCCACCGCGCCCAGCTAATTTTTGTTATTTTTAGTAGAGACAGAGTTTTGCCATGTTGTCAAGGCTGGTCTTGAACTCCTGACCTCAGGTGATCCACCCGCCTTGGCCTCCCAAAGTCCTGGGATTACAGGCATGAGCCACCACGCCTGGTCAAAATAAATTATTTTAAATGAAACATTTGAGAACAAATTTTGTACAGGAACTTTTTGCTTAGGGTAAGCAGAAATTCATTTATTTAAAGAGAAATCATCTATCTGTTGTGACTTAGTAGTAGAAATGAAGTGGGCAACACTTAATTTTAATAAGGAAAATATGATTAAAATATTAAACAGGAGGAAGTTAATTAAAGATATAGTAGCTGGCTCCATTTATTCCCCAGTCTTACAAATGATAGAAAAAATATTTTAATGACTTAATACAAATGAAAATAGCTGGAAATGTTATACTGAAATTAAACACAATGAATGGATGGAATATAGTATTCTACTTTTTGTTGAATTAGGAATTGCAGTTAATTATTAAACACCATCCAAGAGTGTTACCATATCCTGTCACTTCTGCCAAAAGAGGATGGTTGAGAAGTGAAGGCACCAAAAAATCACATTAAATGAGGAATTATTAATTCAATAAATACCTGAGCTACTATGTAGTAGTCAGTCCCTGTTCTCTATGATGGGGATACAGCATGAACAAAATTGATTTTAAAAAAAATGTTTCCTGCCTACTTGGAGATTATATTCTATGGGAGGAGTCAGGCAAAAATCAAAATAAGTAAAATAGTGTGTTGGTCAGGACTGTTATGGATAAAACTGAGGAAAGGGGAAGGGAGTTTTACATGAGTAGATTTCTTCTTGAAATTGGTTTAGATTTGTCTTGAATTGGTATAGGTCAAGAACAGGAATTTTAGACTTACTCGATTTTGCCCCCAACAAATTGTATGTTCTTGGGTAAATTGCTCGCCATCTCTTAATTTTCACATTTATAAAATTAATAGATCAAAACAATAGCTATTTTTTTGTCACTACTGTCATTTAGCAGACATACTACATATGTCATCTAATTTACTCATAACCATCTTATGAGGTAAGTAACGTTGTCCCCATTTGACACACGAGCAAACTGAGGTTTAGATTAGGCAATTCGTTTGAGTACATGCTCCTCTTAATGCCACAGAGGGTGTGTTCCAGGACTTGGTGCTTGCCATTATCATTTGGTACTGCTTCTCACTGTGTTGGTCCTATGAGTTTCTTCAGTCTATGAATGTCAGGTCATATGGGTCAGGGTGGTCGACGTCTTACAGAGATGCCTGTAATCCTGTCAGATAGCATGAGAACTCGGGGACCTCCGCGGTTTGGTCGCGCATTTACCGCGCCTGTCGCTGGGTCAGACGACCTGGCAGTAGAGGGTGAAGGATAGAGAAGGCAGAAGGCAGGGCGCGGAGACTACTAGTCCCAGCATTCCACAGGCGCCTTCCGGCGGAAAGTGTTTGTCATATGGGCGGGGACCCTGGACGACATTCGGGCCGCAGCGGCCGCTGGGTGCAGCCGAGCGGTGTGGAGTGGAAAGACCACTCGAAGGGCTCTCCTGATACTAACAGTTCTACGATTTGAAACCCCGCCAGAATTTGTAAGTAAACAAAATGACTATGCAACTTTTCCATGTTTTAGTATTGGAATTAATGTCTTGAATTTTTCAAAAGGACTTCCAGAAACGGCCCCTCCCCACCCCCACCTCCCTACCGCACAAATGGTATTTTAATTTTTATTGTTTTTGAGACAGGTACTTGCCCTGTCACTCAGGCTAGAGTACAGTGGCGTGATTGTAGCTCACCACAGCCTCATACTTCTGGGCTCAAGCGATCCTCCCGCCTCAGCCTCCCAAGTAGCTCGAACTACAGGCCCGCACCACCATGCCCCACTAATAACTTTATTTTTTATTTTTGTAGAGACAGGGTCTCACTGTATTGCCCAGGCGGGTCTCGAACTCCCGGCTTCAAGCGATCCTCCCGCCTCGGCCTCCCAAAGTGCTGGGATTACAGGCGTGAGCCACCACGCCTGGCCTCACTCAAACAGTAAACGAGGTAGGTTGGGGGTATATTTTTGTTTTAGGATAAAAAGAAACTGAATCTTATAAATATTAAATGGGGTAAGATGTGAGTAAATTTTGGGGTTTAGACTTTAATATGAGAAGCAGAATTATTTTAGGGTTCGAAATGTAAGTGGGAAATTTGCCTACTAGTGTAGGTGGCGATTACTCCATGCCCAGCATGCCTAGGATCTCGACATTCTTAATCTTAATCCTGAAAAGATAGTACTTAAAAAAAAAATGGTGCTAAAAAGGGCAAAGTTGAAGTTTCAGTAAGACCTCCTACCATTTTGCTTACATATTATATATGTACATTCTCCCAATTGTATTTAATACCTGATGAAAAAGTTTGTGCCTTTTCCTTCTTTTAACAAAGTTCATAGTACTCTCTACTTTATGAGTACTTTATGATAAACTTAATTATCAGACTTTATACTGTTACACAGATCCAGAAATGAGTTATATAGATTAAACATACTGGTTTTGTTTTACCTGTCTTTAGGTTGTAACACGTTTTCTTTTGAATCTGTATGAGAGATCCTTTCTTTAAGCTGTGGCAGTTATCCATGTTTTTTGAGCTCTATTTTTTGAGCACAAGGTGAGTATATAAAGGGCCAGTGGAAACATTTAATAAAAAAAGGAACTTCATGGTACAGATGTTCTTGGAAGCCTTTGTGTGGATTAGAACAGTTTGAAAAACTAACATTTGCTATGAAAATTGAGTGCCTGTCTTCAATAATGTTTATTATGCTGAATGTGCAGTCCACAACTTGATTACCTGTTTTTCTGCAGGTTTGTTACGCAACCTTTCGTGACTCATTTAAGAACTATTTTATCTAGTTTCTTTCCTAATATAGAGGTAATGCTAGCTTGAGAGCTTCAATAATTCACAAGTAAATTAACTTCAGAATGTAGCTAATTATTTGAGGATTATTGGGTGTTTTAACAATGCATTGTATTTTGTATATAACTTATTTTTGCCTAAGAAGTCATTTCTGTGTTTCATTCATTTCCATGGAACACAGAAGTCAAAACTCTATTCCAGGAAAGTCCACACTTCTTTGAAATGCCACTTGAATTTCCTGAAGGAAAGTTTGCTTCAAGAAGCCTTGTCTGCTTTATCACTTCGAGGTTGTTCACTAAGTTAACTGCGAAGGCCCATAAACTTGGAGATCTGACAACCTCCCAAAAAATTTGAAGAATGAAGAATTGGCTGTTTTATTTACTGTTTAGAATTTTAATTGTGTTAAAATTTCTTTAATATTTCTATATCATATGAACTACTGGATTAAACTGTGTCCCACAAGAAGGAATTCGTAGGGCGATCATACATTATCATAAATTTTGCACAGAAATCAAACATTTGGGAATAAGGAAGGGTGTCCCAATGAGCATAGACTTTGGAGTCATAGCTGGGTTTGAATTCCTATTTTGTCACTGTGTGGGCTGTTTCCCTTTTTACTAGTATTTAAAGGAGCTGACACATGAATTTTTTTTTTTTTTTTTTTTTGGTGCCATGACTCAGTTATGAACTGTGCACATAATTTTGGTAATCAAAATTTCTGGGAAGAAAATTCACCTATAATTCCACTACCTCAACAAATCAAATTGTTTGGTTTTTGGAGATTTTCCTTCAGCCCTTGACTATGAGTATATATCATGTAAATGTAATGACATTTTTGGAAAAAGTCAAATTTTAAAACATTAGTGTCTTCTGGGATTTTGTTTTAATTAAATGAAGCTGTTTGGTTTTGCCTGTAGTAGTTCAAATAATAACAATTTACAGTTTTTGAGGACTTCTTTTCTGCCCCTGTGGTTGTCAGTATTGCTCATTATCTCATTTAATCTTCACATTGCCTCTTTCATCTAAGTACTGTTATTCCATTTTATAATTAAGAAAACCAAGGAAAAAGTTAGCCAGGGGCTGGGCACAGTGGCTCATGCCTATAGTCCCAGCACTTTGGGAGGCCAAGGTGGATGGATCACTTGAGATCAGGAGTTTGAGACCAGCCTGGCCAACATGGTGAGACCCCATCTCTACTAAAAATACAAAGAAATTAGCTGGGCATGGTGGCGGGCACCTGTAATCCCAGCTTCTCGGGAGGCTTGAGGCAGGAGAATCGTTTGACCCTGGGAGGCGGAGGTTACTGTGAGCTGAGATCACGCCATTGCACTCCAGCCTGGGGGACAGAGTGAGACTCCGTCTCAAAAACAAAACAAAAAACAAAGAAAACCAAGGGCAGAGAGAGAAAGAGAAACACCAAGTCAGAAGCTGGAGCAGTCATTCAGGCCTAGACAGTCTGACCTTAGAGGATAGTGCTATATTGGGTTTTATGTTTGGTAGATTTGCTTTATGGATGTTAGGTCATATTTGTAGATAGGAGTTGATCCTGGAGGCTGACTTACAACATTCTTTGTATGAAAGTTTTTTGTTTGTTTCTTTTTTGAAACAAGATCTCTCTCTCTTATCCAGGCTGGAGTGCAGTGGCACAATCACAGCTCACTGCATCCTTGACCTCCCAGTCTCAAGTAATCCTCCCACCTCAGCCTTCCAAGTAGCTGAGACTACAGGCACAGACCACCATACCTGACTAATTTTTGTATTTTTTGTATAGACAAGATCTTGATATGTTGTCTAGGCTGGTCTCTGAACCCTTGGGCTCAAGCAGTCTTCTCCTGCTTGAACTTCCTGGGATTATAGGCATGAGCCACCATACCTGACTACGGTATTTTTTAAAGTACTGTATATAACTACTTTTTCTTTTCTTTTCTTTTCTTTTCTTTTCTTTTCTTTTCTTTTCTTTTGTTTTGTTTTGTTTTGTTTTGTTTTCTTTTCGAGACAAGGGCTTGCTCTGTTTCCCAGGCTGGAGTATAGTGGCACTATCATGGCTTACTGCAAACTTGAACTCCTGAGCTCAAGTGATCCTCCCACCTCAGTCTCCCAAGTAACTGAGACGATAGGCACACACTGCCATACCCAGCTATGTTTTGTATTTTTGTAAAGATAGGGTCTCACTGTGTTGACCAGGCTGGTCTCAAACTCCTGGCCTGACATGATTCTCTCACCTTGGCTCCCAGAAGGCTGGGATTAAAGGCATGAGCCACTGCGCCTCCCGCCCCTACCCCCCTTTATAACTACTTTGATCACTAGATTTTTAACAAATGTTGTAGGAAAATAAAGAAGATAAGGGAAATGTTTAGTTCCTTAACAGATGAGGCCATTCACCTATAGTTTTATTAGTTGTAGTAAAAATATAATTTATATACAAGGCAAATTATTGGGTCTAAGTTTTCCTTTTTTTTTTTTTTTGAGATGGAGTCTCGCTCTGTCACCCAGGCTGGAGTGCAGTGGCATGATCTCGGCTCACTGCAAGCTCTGCCTCCGAAGTTCATGCCATTCTCCTGCCTCAGCCTCCCGAGTAGCTGGGACTACAGGCACCTGCCACCATGCCCGGCTAATTTTTTTGTATTTTTAGTAGAGATGGGGTTTCACCGTATTAGCCAGGATGGTCTCGATCTCCTGACCTCGTGATATGCCCGTCTCGGCCTCCCAAAGTGCTGGGATTACAGGCGTGAGCCACTGCGCCCGGCAAGCTTTCCTTTTTTAAAATTAAAAATATAAGATTTATAATGAAGGAAAACTAACTTTAAAGCAATGCTCCTTAAACTTTATAGTGAACACCAGAGTCATCTGGCAAATCTGTTAAAACATAAACTCCTGCCAGAGGCTCTCAGAGATTCTGGTCTAGTGGGTCTAGGTTGGGGCCTGAATTTGTTCTTTTAGCAAGTTCCTAGGTAATGCTAATGATTCCTAGCTAATGAGTTGAATATAGTAAGGAAACAAACACACTTGTTGTCCATATTGTTGGCTTGATAGTTATACCCCAGTAGCACTGAGCATTCAGATCTTGGTTTGTAAAGGCACTAGGACTTTTTAGAGAAGTGGCTGATTTCAGTGCGGAGGCAGAGAAAATACAAGATGAGCCTGAAACATCCTGTGGTGCTTGAAAGTAAGGAAATGCTAGAAAAAGTTAGGGACCTTGTCAAAAGGAGCCAACTTGAAGGAGTTCCTGGTATCCAGGTTGGAGCAATTTGAGCAGTAAAATGAATAGTGATAGTATTGGACTTTAACCCATAAAATAAAATGAGTTCATACTGATATTGCTGAATAAATAAGTAGGGGAGAAGGGACAACTCTTTCTAACAGAAGAATTCCAGTTAGTAAACATTGAAGGAAAGAAGGAAATACAAAACCACCATTAGGGAAACAGTACCGTTAGTAGTTGCAGACAAAATCCAGTTAGAGGACAATCAGAATATTTACATAGTTTCAAAGTATCTCTCCCAGGATAATTATTAACTACAAAGAAAAAATAGTAATCTGACAGTGGAGATACTATGTTAAAAAAGTGATTAAGGTTAACATCACCAGTAATAAGACAAGGACATCATGAACCCAAAGATACGCCGTGAGAAGGACACAGTGGCATTTCTGTGGTGTTTGTTATTACCAAAAATGCATAATCTTTTTATCTTTCCAATCATGATAAAATATAAAAATCTAAACTGAGGAACATTCTACAAAATAACTGGCCAGGCCAGGTGCCGAGGCTCATGACTGTAATCCCAGCACTTTGGGAAGCCAAGGCAAGAGGATCACTTGAGCCCAGGAGTTCGAGACCAGCCTAGGCAACGTAGCAAGACCACATCTCTATTTTTAAAAATTAAAAACAACACTAAACCCAAAATAACTGACCAGTATTCTTCAAAAGTGTGAAGGTCACAAAGACAAGAAAGGGCCGCAAATGACAGGTAAACACTGAGGAACTGTCACAGACTGAAGACTAAGGAAAAATAACAACTAAAAGAAATGATGAAATTTGAACATAGCCTGTGGTTTAGTTAACTGAATTGTATCAATGTTGATTTCTTGTTTTTGATAACTATAATTATATAAGATGCTAGATGAAGGATATAACGGAACTCTGTGCTATT